GCGCGCCCTTTCTCCTCACAAAAAGAGCTTTTGAAATCCGAGTTTTTTCACTTGGAGAGGGAGGTATTTTGCTACATTTTTTACGCTTCCTGGATGCAGAATGGCACGTTTTTTGCCACTGGATCAAATCCTCAAAGGGCAAATTTGAATTTGAATTTTATATCGAATATCTCAGAAAACAATCTGGGATGACTTTTTGGGTAGTACAAAAGGCGAGTAGCGTCTAAAATACGCAAATATCAAGGTTCCCAACTTGAGATTTTTTTTGGTAAAAAAATCAAAAAATCCTGTATTGTTATTGAAACGATGATGATTAGTGGCTCATTTATGTTGTCCTGAAAACCACAAAAGTTAACATTATTCAGTAAAAACGCAAAAAAATCCAAAATAATCGCGCAAATATCAAAGTCAAACAAAAATACCGCAACGATCCCAAAACGCCAATTAATTTTTGTTGCTCTTTAGTCGATCTTTTGAAATCTAATCTATCATATAAAGTCCACAAAAAAATAACAAAACACGTGTTACACATTCCTATTCCCAAAAGTTTAAAAATCCAGAAAAAATTCCTTTCCAATCCCGAAATAACACACGCCAAATCGCGGAGGAAAAAATGACACTTTGAAAAATTGCCAAGACATCACGCATATTCGTTTACAAACAAAAAAAAAGCTCAAAAAATCGAAAAATGAAACGATCTTGAGGCATCTGGCGCTCTCAAGTTTCACTTTCGTTTTTGAAGGTCCGTAAACAAGATGGCCAATTCCGATCTTTGAAGGGGATGTCATACGTGATTCGGAAACATCAAGGATGACGTTAAAAAATTTGTAAAGAAATTCGAAATTTTACAAACTCAAAAATGCAAAATTATCCAGCATTTTCATAGATGATATAAGATCACAAAAAATTCCATAAAAATTATCCAAAAAATCTGTATTAATAGCCCATCCAGGAGCTGTTATCTGGTGATGTGTGGTCGTTATCGCAGCTCTTAACTCGATTGAAGCACCAATTAAAAAAGTTTTACCAAAAAAGCCCTTTCACAATCAGTTTACACTTTTGGGTGGGGGAATGAAACTTCCAACGGGAATCGCAGGGATCGTTACTGTTGTCATTTCTAAGAAAGAAAATTTAAAGTTTATAACAACAAATTTGATAAGATGCTGATAGAAAATGGGGTCTTAAACGAAAGAAATTTCAGTCATGAACTTTAAAATAAGCGAGATATGTTTAAGAATGTCTGAGTGTTGGATTTACTCCAAATTATGCTTGGACAATCTATCTAGTCCACATATCAATCCCTAAAAATCTTAGCTCGCGCTTTGCAGGGGTTCTTTTTTTCTAATGTCATTTCTGACGAGAGAGTATGCTGAATGCGGGTAGAGAGAAAAACGATCTTGATTCATTTTTTGCATTCTTCGCGTGAAAAACAGTTATTTGCAGAAAGGTCGACAAATTCAGCAACGGAAATAAAAGGAAAAATCGAAGCGGAAACATCAAGAAAGGTCCTTAGCATCATTTTTAAACTAAAGAGGTCTCCCAGCAATCCCGATTTTCGAATCACTGCCCAAAAACATCCTCAACAGCTCCTACACCCTAAATCAACACTTCCAGCGCCTCAGTCGACACGTTGTCTATATTCCCCATCTCAACGTTCACCCCCCACTTCTTAGCCCGCAAACGTCCCGCGAACGGAACATTCGAAAAAAACGGTTTTAATGAAACGTGAAGGGGAGAGAAGGGCGTAATGGCTCGGTACCTTCGCCTTCTTCCTTCTCACTGTTTGATGGATCGAGAGTAAAGTAATAAACGTCCCACTGAAGACTTTCGAAAACTGATTGTTTTCCTTTCCTTATTTGGAAGAGACTTTACGTGGGCAGGTTGTTTTTACACACGGGGTTAGACAAAGTGGGTAAGAGGGCATCGGGTGATTCCCGGAAAAATAAAGAAGGAGATGGGTCAGGGTTCGGGAAAATGGAAGTAGACAGTTTTGAAGAAAGACAAATAGTATCATTCGCTCAGTGAAAATATCAAAATTTTTAATTTTTAACTGTAAAAAAATTGAATAAAATGTGTACGGTGAATTTATAAAAAAAATTGAGCATTGCAAAATGATGTCGCTGCATTATGCAACGACTTTTCTTCATCGCACGTGCAAAATTACAGGACGATTTTTTTGGTGCACTTTTAAATCTGAGGATTCTAGGAAGGCTCGCCGCTTAAATACAACACTCCAGACGAGGAAGCATCAGCACTTAGCGCCTCAAAACACAAACTTTCCCGGCTCTAATCTCGCAAAAGTGCAAAACATTCAAAAACACCTCGAAATTTATGCAAATTCGGAAAAAAAGAACTCTTAAAAGATCAGACTGGGAAGGCCTCTCGCCTCCGCTATCTAATCAAAGGGCGAGATCGGGCTCGGAAGGGGAACAGTGGAGGGGCGAGAAGACGGTTTCCGTAACGATGAATCCCATTTACAAAAGCGAAGGAACAGGTTGATTACAAGTCGGGAACGCCACCCAAAAGAAAACAGGAAATCTCGGGCGATGGGGGGAGCCGAATGGGGAAATAACCGTTATCATTCGTAAACAAAAAAATTTTTTGACGGTCCGAACGCAAGAGAGCGGTCACAGGCTGGGAAAAGGGCATGGAGGCAGGCAAGGGAATGGTGCGGAAAATAAAAGTTTACAAACACAAGCCTCTACGTAACGAACCCGTATTACACACGATTTTGGGTGCTACCGAAGGGCTGTTGGAGCAGAAAGTATCGATAACACTTCAATGGTTTTCTGGGATCTTCCGCACGAGAATAGCCATAGAATTCACAAGGCAATGGTCAAAAAGTTGTTGGCATTTGGTCATCCCTCCTTTTCTGTACTCTGTCGCTTGCAAATATCGAATGCCCTTGGCCGCTGGACAGCAAACAACTAAAATTTTTAAGAATTTATCCATCAGCCAAGTGCGTATCAATCCCATAAAAAAACCTTACGAAAACTTGACTTCCGTATCAACTTTACCCTTACAAGATTTTCAGACCAAAATAGCCTCATGTAAAAGACTTGCAGGCAAAAACATTTAGCAAGAGCGCTTCAGTTGTGCAAAAACATTGACTGCACAAAAACGGGAAGTCATTTTATGGGGGTGTTTGCCATTCACCGAGCAGTAACGAGCTATCAACGATCAGCGCCGCAGATGGATGGGTTATTGGGGTTGGTGACGTTGTGCTAAAGGTTAAGGAGTCAACATTTCCTGCTCTACAAAAATTACAAATTTGGTAGAGAAGAATTGGAAAAACAAAGCCATAAATCGAATCTGGAGAGAGTATTGTTGACAAGGATACTGCTTTAGGCGGGGCACTTTTACATTCTTTAAATTTGGTGTGCAAGGTCTAGCCAGGCCATGCCTCATTGAATTTTACCTTGCCCTTGCAGGCACCGTCGAGTTATTTAAAAATCTTGACATGCTATAGAGTACATAATATGAAGGGAGATTTCCAGACAGAATAAAATTTCCGACATCAAACATGACATATTGGGAAGAGCAAAGCAAGCTATGGTATCAACAAGTTCAAACTCCCGCATCGCCTTCCCTAAAGCTCGTATAACTAACCCTACTCAATCATCCCTTCCCCTTCCCTCCCATATCGCTCCACTGATCCAGCTGAGCCGTGTCAATGACCCCTCGTCGATGAACGGCAGCCCCAGAAAAAGTGGCTCGCTTATCGAGGGCGACAACTTTTCTTCCGTCAACGAAAAATATGTGCGAGAGAAGTCCTCCAACCCCATTCCGGATCCGTCGACAAGTTGATCAAGTCATCTGCCGAAATTGAGAAAAAAATGAAAAATTCAATTTCTCATCTCTGATTTCAGCTCGGGAAACGCGAACAACCAAAAAATGTGGATGTTGAACCGCTAGCGCAAAGAAATGGTCGCCATCCTGACCATTCACTGATAAGGTGCTCAGCAAATTGGAAATGGAATTTGGGGTGAACAGGTAGCTGAATCAGGACAAAAATAGATTGATAAAAGCATGATAAATGGATTATAGGGTGGTATAGTCATGGAAGCGAGGGAGGCAGAAAGTGTTAGTCATGTGTTTACAACCTGACAAGGCAAGGATGGGGTTTTAGAACTGTAATGAAAATTTTAAATTTAAAGCTTTCATATCAAAAGCCTCGCGTTATTCCCTAAATAAACAAATTTTAAACCTTTGAACCTTCTAATTGCAATGATAAGATCCTAAGGCGAAGAAACCATAAATGACGTCACTTCTACAGTCTCGATTGCTCCATAGCCTACAAATTCAAGCTCATTTTACAATTTTTCGAAATTCTGGAACGCCCAAGGTTATTTCAACTTTTTGTGCACTTTTCAAACCATCTCACCCCGGTAATTCTTTTGCTTCATCAACGCATAGAAATGTAACTCCGCAGTTGCGTGTAAATCGCACTGAATTAGCCCCAACCTACTTTTTTCCTAGTCCCTTTAATGACTTGTTGCTAAAGATAAAAGGTGTTTTTTTTCTCGCTCCCGGAGATCAGACAGCCTCAACTGCTCGTTCAGTTGATCTCTTGTTTTTTTTTTTGATAATTTACTGCCCTCTAATAGCCGAAATGTACTTTTTCTGCCGAAATCTGGGGCGGATTATTTATGCTTTTGAAACTTTTGAGGCGGAATTGGACTTTTAGAGGGTTATAAAAAGGTAGACTTTAAATACAACATTCAATTACAATTGAAACGTTATACATAATACAAGGTGGAGAAAGAAGAGGACTAAACAAAAGCCTTGCTTTAGGCAACCCCCAAAAAAGGCCCCTCCTGCGTCCAAGAGTTCAAAAGATCCCATAACAAGGCCTCCAACCACAACCGTGGCTAATTCAATATCACTCCAAACACACCCCCAACTACCTTCTCCTAGTCTCATGCAACACATGTTCCCCCCTCCTCGCTGATCTGGTCCATTCGATATATCCTCCCCTCTTTACCTACATATCCCCCTCATCAACGTCGGTGTTTCGACGCAGCTCCCTTCGGTTGTCTCAGCTGCCCCGCTGATCCAGGACAGCGAGAAAAGGTGGTGGGGGGAAGCGGGGAGCAGTTCCTCGCCAATGCCTCCGCTCTCATCATCCCACCCCGCAAGCCATGCGAGAAGTGATGGGGTGGGAGATGACATATTTGAGAGAACAGGTGGACCTGTTCGTGGCGCAGGCTGAGAGCATACAGAATCTAAATCGGGTCAGAAACCCGACCAAAAAAATGAGAAGTTCATCCCGGGTGCAAGGGCAACAGGAAACACTGTTCCCCATCTGAGGTTGACGTTAAATTTTCGACCAAAGTCTGTCAGAAAACGATCTCTCAAAGCTCCCCAACCCGGCTGTCGTTCCTAGTCTTCCCAAAGTATCAGCTACCCAATCTCGCTTTATTCTACCTTCGCCGTTATCGGTCCTAGCCTCTAAATCTAGCGTACATCCGACTCCAAGCCCGACTCGGTCGCCGTTCCCCCTTCTGTCCCGCTTATCGGCCTCCCCCGATCTTCGCTGCCCACAGCGCTGCTCAATGTTGCACTCTACAAAACAGCTCGAAGCGGGGCGCAATCATCATCAACGCCACACTCACAGCGCCCCCGAAAACGCGAGAAATCACAGAGAGAGAAGGGGGGAAGACCCATGGAGCGACGGGGATCAGGACGGGCGATGGAAGAGCTCTCGGTCAGTCGTCTCTTCCCCGTTCGACCTCTTTTTTTGCGACCACATTCTCTGTTCGTTATCTGTGCGGACGATGCCCGGAGGGGCTCGTTTGATTACGAGTAAGAGAGGTAAACAATATGTTGTACGATGTTGCCGGATCAGAAATTTGAGCCGGCCATTACGGCCTCTCAAATGCTATGTTTTGAAGACTGACTAACAATAAATCATAAGGGGCAAAGAACAAATTCTTCGAGCCAAAACATGTTTCATAACCCCACTCGAAATATTGCACAATGACAAAAATTTGGGTAATTTTAAGCTTACATCAACAGCGTCCCAAACTACAGCTAATCCAGGTTTCATCAGCATCCACAAATCCGCACGAGACAATGGCCATAAATAGCTGAAACCAAAACAAGAATCAAAGACGGACGATAAATAAGGAATTAGTCGAAGGGATGCCAGATTAAGCCAAATCTCCTCGGGAACCTGCTAATAAACAACAAATTCCGTCGTGGAATTTAGACGAATATAATAGCATCGAACTGTGGGTAAGTAAAATTAAAAAAATTAAATGAAAGGTCAGCAAATTTTGTAAATCAGGCCGCTAAACAAAAGCCGATGATAATTTGTAAGGTAAAAGCCCCGCGATAAATGGCAACCCTCCGTTACAGCAAGATCTTTTGAATTGCCCCGAGTTTCGTCGAGTGGATAACCTACCTTACATCAAGATTTCACAATGGAAAAATTCCAAAATCCCTCAAAATTTTTTTCTCACTCTCTCACCTTCCCTTCTCCCCGCCGTAAATCCATTGCACAATCTCCGAAATCCCTTCCTTTTTCGGAGCGTTCCGGCATCGTTCTCGTTTTGTTTACCCCGCCGCGACGTAATCTGCCCTTTGCTCGGAGGACGGAGAGAAAAAAAATGAAATCGGCGAGCGGCTTCAAATGACCGCCCGGAACACTTTTTTTGCCCCCCTTTTTGGGAAGTTCGAGAAAAAAAGGGGGAGAGGGAAAAGTTGAGCAACATGGAGAGAAATTAGGAGGAATTCAGGGAGGTCAGGAAGGAGGGGGATGTGGAATTTACTAAAGTTAAAGATGGCACGTAAAGGGGGTGACCAGGAATTTATAGAGTAAAGTACGTAACAGTTGCTGAACTACAAAATAACGTGGCATAAAATAAAAGTTGAGGTCGGAAGTATGATAAGAGTCCCGTAGCCGCGATGACCTATATATACATGTGATACAATTTACAAGGAGTTTACATGCGTCGCTTTTTTTTACCGCTTGCCTAGCGTAACGGCCATCCGTTCCACCTGCGGTTAACCAGGAAAACGAGGAACTACCTTCCTGCAATTAAACCCCCTACATGACTTCATCTTACCCGCATGACTTCTGTATAAGGATAGGACCATTCCTGTTCGCCCTCTTCCTTGTCCTCTAAAGCCCAGCACTCCTCCCTTTTTTCCACCATGTTTGGCCTCAACAGGACCGCGGGCCGCTCGACGTTCCGTTGACACGCAGCCGAGAGCCTGGCACGACGACGATGACGGGGGCGTTCCGAGCGGCCAACAAACAAAAAAAAGACGCGAGCGGCCCAAAAATGGGCCACGGTCAAAGACCAGGCCGCCAGCCGCTAAGAGTGCGATGGACGCGGCTTTGGAGCCGGTGCCGTCCATGGGGATTCCGTGCCGGGGAACGCCGCGTGACGTGCCGAACGTAAAAGGTGAACGCCGAGCGCCCCGGAAGGCAAAAGGAGTCAAAAACTGCGGGGTTGTGTTCGAAATGTTTGCGAGGACTCGAAATCGAGACCAACTTTCAATGGAAAGCCGGCCTATTCAACAACGCGTGTGTAACGGGAATGGGTTCTGTTTGTATGAAATTATACAATAAAAAACATCTCAATTTCAATTGGAATAATAAAAAACATTAAAACCGTGCTTCCAAGTAGCTTTCACTCAAAAACACTTGTTAAGGAACGCCTATGAAAGAGTTATTTTCCACGCAATGATCACAATTTCGCCCTACTTTCCTCCATTTCCGCAAAATTAGCAGCAGTTTCCCCATTTTTTTGCAAGTCTCTCTTCAAAACCATCTCGGAAGCCCCCTGTTCCATTTTTTGTTGATTTTTCTCATTCCTCTGCCACCTACTGGAGCCGCTCAATATCTGCGCTGCTGAAAAAACGGAGATTGTCTCTCGATCTATGTGGGTCAGCCGATTTTGTGAAAAGGTTCTTGGAGCTTGAATTGAAAATTTCGGATTTCCCCCGAACCTTTCATGGGTTTGGTAAAGCCGATCGAATGGGATTACAATGCAAAAACCGGGGATCAAAAATGGGAAAGCGTTCGGAATTTTTTACAATGAATTTCGACAGAAGGACCTAGAGTTTGAGTTCCTATCGGATCCTCGAAGGAAATTACGCGAAAAAGCAAAGCTTATCCCTATTACTCAGCTAACATAGTCAGGAAGAGGTTAACATACTTCAAAACTACATTAATCGTGGTCGTTGGCCGGCTTTGCAGTCTAAAATAAACCGGATTAAACGTTCAAAGCTTCAAATAAAAAACTGACGAGGATAAAACAATTGAGCGTGGAATGTCAACTGCGTAAATAAAAGGAGTCACTGAGCATGGATTAAAGACCACGGAGAAGATGAAGACAGTATAGGCCTTCTAAAGCCGGAAAAGACAGTAAAGGAGAGCAACCTTGGCATGGATCAGAATGCCCCAAAAACCACTTTTTTGGCTTAATGATAAATTACTATTTATTAACATTGGTCAATGGCTCTGAATGCCCATGGTCAACAAAAACTAAAACGAGAAAGCAAAGGACTGGCCAAGGAACAAAAATAATGCCATTAGCTGTCCCTGTTGGCTATGAATAAAACATACACCGGGAAAACAAGGAGAATTGCCATTATAATAAGAAAGGTTCAAGAAGTATTTATCGAAAAATTAACGACACTTTAGTATACTAAGAAAGTCAGTTTTCGGAAGGAAATTTAGCATCTCGTTTGGCACATATTAGAGTTTACAACAGAATTACAACCATAGACTCGAAATTTTATATGGCTTCCAATTCTAGCCAAAAACACCTTCTATGACCATTGCGATCATCTTCTCTGTCATCCCTCCGCATCCATTACGCATGCCAGAACATCTCAAAAATCGGGTTACCCTATCCCAAAAAACAATGCCTTTCCCTCAGCCCCCTCTCCAGCCTCCTAACCCACATAATTTCGTCGCGCAAAGATCCCAGGTGATTCCATGGAGACGCAACAAGTCTTTTGTCAGACTACAGAACCTCCCAGCAAAAAACAAATAGTCCTCACGTTTGTCGCTCCGACCGACGGCTTGACCAAGAGCGCCTGGTCAGAGCCAAACAAACCGCCCCAGGGTCCGGTTCTCTTTGCGATTCGTTTGGGGGTTTGTTTGTGATTCGGGAGGTTGAATGGAGCTGTATAAAGGACAACAAAAAACGAGTAATGAACAGTGCAGTAGAGATGAGAGGATTTGAAGGATTACTGTATAAATAAATCAACTACATATTGTAAAAAGGGCTTGCAACGCCTTGACCGAACTTATGCCGTCTCACAATTAAGTCTCATTAAGGGACCACAACAAATGTACACCCCTATGATAAAAGGGACATCAAAAAAGACATTAGTATTTACACAAGAAAATAGTCGGAGCGACTGTACGGAGAACGGTCAAGCAATCTTGAGTAAACTAACTCGAATACAAAAGAAGAATCTTGTCTGGGTACGCAACACACCTGTGACTTGGGATATTACTATAAGATCAAGAGGACACAAGGAGAGGAATCCGTCGAGCCAAACCATTTCTTGTCCAACTTTTCCAAAATTAGAGGAAATACGGTGACAAGAGTTGTTATTTTTAGCAGCTAATTTTGAAAATACATCCCTAACTTTGATCACAAAATGGTATATACATGTTGTGTTGACTTGGTATCCCACGTCCTTGTCTTACTTTAGCTTTCCAGGTTTTCTTTTCACTGATCTGAACAATATAGCTCAAGCTCAGGAGTCAAAAGTCCTATTTCTAGTAATTGGAACACATTTTTCATCTCCTGCCCTTTTCCTCCTCCGTTCTGACTGAAGACTGATTGCTGGAGCGTCAGCCAGATTAATGATCCAACCTGTCCATTCCTTGATCTTTGCAAACAACACATTCTCCCCGAACACCTAAGGCCATTCAGTATTAAAATTGATGGGGTTTGAGCTGACGATCGTCTAACAAAGTCAAGAGGAGCTGATCGATTTCTGTTCCTCAACGTTTTTTTATGTGTGGGCATAAAAAGTTTTGGAGGAGTAAAAGAAAGGGGACAAAATCCAACATACGTCATGAGGGCAGACTTTGATGTTTAGCCCGTTTTAAAAGTTGCCTTCATGATTTGCCCCGACATACCTATGTCAGTTATTGAAGGCTGATCTAAGAATGATGAGGCTCTTGTTTTTTGGCGTGCTGTTGCGGTCGGGATGATAAAAAGAGAAAGTGATAAGGGAATGCTACGAAGAGAGCTCAAAGTTATAATAAAAAAAAGTTGCAGAGTGCAAAATAAAGTCAGAAATAACAAAGAACAAACAACTAGAGTAAATCGCAGGCCAAGTCCAATGAAGGGCATAGATGGTTACAGGAAAGATTAGTTGTAAAAATTCCGATTATAGACACAAGCTTAGCTAGCAACCGTTGAAACAGTTAGCCATCGATGGCGTCCGCTATTTCTATTATAAATCCATTGAGAAAAAAGGCCTAGAAACGTTAGTATAGTAACCCTACTTCTAGGCTCCCAATACACTTCTCAATGGAAAGAAAATTTGCTCCTGGACTGGTCATTTCGCGGCCGAAAAACTCCTCCGTTCCTCCTTGTCCCATTCCACTCTGCAAAAAAATGAAACTTTAGTGTTGTCTGCAAGGCGCATAAAAGGACAGAGCCGGACGAGCCCCAAGGAATGCCCTGCGGGGCCGTTCGACGATGTTCGCGAGGAAGAGTTCAGCCGGCACAGCACGGCACATCCAACCATTCTTTTTGTTGCTGCTGTAATAGTACGTGCAAAAGTGTTAAGAGTGCAGCGCCCCCGAAATTAAATCTTTGGTCTGCAACTGTAAATTGTAAATCAAGATCGTAATTGAAAATGTAGCCGGGAAACCGAAAAAGTAATGAAAAAAGGAAGCCGACAGGTGCAGTTTGAGGAGCAGGAGGTAATTTGCGGAAATTTTAATTTAAAATTACGGTAGACAGATTTATGCAGAATACCGTAGCAGAGCCGGAAAAATTATATTTAGAACGCGGAATGCCTGTTCCATTTATGTCACAAGATATTTCGATGATCCGCATCATTTATGACTATCAACTTATTTCATGTAAATAATTTCTTGTCATCGTTTTTTGCGCATAGACTTACTATACTATACTACAAATTAATTTGGTCAGATGTCACCTGAACTTCTACTGCGGGTGTTTATTACTACGAACGTCATATGCTTGCATTTTACAAAACCGGGTACAAGTTGTCACCAAGGTCGGGCTCAAGGAATAAATTCTGTGCATAGGATACAATAAAGTGCAGATTATGAAAGTTGTGTGCAAGTTGAGGAATTCTGGATTCCCGTGGTCTTAGAATTGTTCGAATTGGGAGCAACGCTTGGGCAGCTCAACGTCGAAAAGCTTGACGGTCTTGCCGTGCTTCTTAAGGTCTTCGATGATTTCACCATCAAGGACTCGTTGCCTGAGAGCTTGGACTCCCGCATGATGACGACGAATGCAGACGAACTCCTTCTGTTCAGTGGCCAAGCCTTGGGCTTCGAATCCTCGAGGACACTTGGCAAGAGCCTTCTGAGAGATGCAGATGAACTCTCTGAATTCACGGATCTGTTGAACTTGTTGCGGCTTCACAACTCGGCTTTCATCGGATTTTGGCTTGGTCAAATTTTCCATTTCATCGGATTCAGCAGATTCGAAGCTGTCTTCTTGGCGATAATGCTTTTCAGTACGCTTCTCAACTTCCGAAGCATCACATCCGGATTCACGGTACAAGTACGAAGCGTGGAATTCCTTCAACGTCTTGGCCAACTGGTTGTTGGAGAGACGGAGCGAATCATCCTGGCTGTTGGAGAATCTTCCACAGACTCCGCATTGTTGGTTGACGTATTCGTCGGGAAGGAAGACGGAGACATTCTCTCCATCGTAACGGATTTCCATTCCAGTCGTACGGCAGTGGAGGACGTAGATGACTCGTTGGTCGCGGCGGACAATGGAGACTCTAAAACATTGAAATGCACAATTAATTTCAAGGACTGTAATAAATCGTTTAAAACCATTTTCACTTCTGTCTTTTATAGGCGGATGTATGACTTACCCATATCTTTGGTATTCATCCTCAGCGATGGCTTCCCCATTAACTTTAACGGAGGTTTCGTCCGCTTCTCTCTCGATGGTGTAGATTCCTCGGGGATTGAGCAGTTGAAGGGTCAATCGGCCGTTCTTTCCGGTCTTGGCCAAGATGGCGTACTTGGGTTCTTCGGAAGAGCAGTCAGCAGAAAGAACGGTGTAGCAAGACGTTAAAGGAATCTAAAACAATGCGGAATGAGCGTGACACCCGGCAAAAAAGGCTTTGTAGTCATCACTGTTTCTTACTCTGTAAGTTTTTCCATTAAAAGACTCGATGTTGTGCTTGTTGTCCAAGGTGCATCTGGCCATATCGTTCGCTGATTGACTTGTGAAGATGTCTCTTCTGCTGGATCCGGATCTGTGGGGCTTTCTCTGGCTCAAACGGGCAGAAACTTCATGTTCGTCATCAGTGATCAGTCTGACATGTCCATCCTCGACAACAATGTCGTTCTTCAACACACTGTGTCTTGGAAGCGCTCTTTCGGCACTCCATTCAGCACTCATAACCATCGACGTAGGGTTGGTATAGAGCTGTACAAACTTGACCAAAGGTCGGATGTGTTGGGTAGTCCAGCCGTTCAACTGGTTCTCCATCAAGATGGTGTAGTGGTTGGCATGGATCTTGGTGGGCATTTGAGTCATGGGATAATCTTCATCATCATATTGGCTCGATTGTTGGGCAAGACCTTGGACTTGTTGAGAAGATGGGTGGCCATAGACACAGAAAGAGACGGTATTCTTGTCTTCCTCGTTGTATTTCCCCCAATGAGTTTCGACATGAGCCAAAACGTGTTGAGACTTAACTCCACCGTAAACTCCATGCAATTGTAGACGAGCGACTTCACCGACGACGCGAAGTTTGAATCCGTCAGATCCTTCGTGTTTGAATCTGTATTCAGAATCAGTTGAGCAGAGGGTAAAGGATGAGTCGCAAAGAGTCTTCGTCGTCGCTTCCATCTTGGCCAATTGCTGATCATCAGCTCCAAGAGCTAGTCCGACAAGTTTGGATTGAACTTTCGTAACGGCGAAGGTTTTATAGTTCTCTGCGAATTTGCTGACGATAGATTTTTCGTTCTGCGGGGTGTTCTTGAACAACTGGTCGACGTGGGCTCCCTTCAACAATTTGTGGAGCATTTTTGGCCCTTCCGTTTGTTGGATAGAGTCGGTTTCGAGCTTATAATGGAATCTCAATTTCTTGGCGGCTCCTTTCTCAACGTGAATGTGCAACTGGAGGGCGTTTTCTCCAACAATAAGACAGTCGGGTTCAGAAGGATGATGGTAATGACCGCGGATTTCGTATCTCATTCCGGTGAATGGCGAGGTCCATTGTTTCTGCGTCTCACGGAACAATGGTTGGCATTTCCTGACATGAAGAGTACGCTCTTCGGATTCAACGTAGGTCTTGGATTCTCTTGGCCATTCACGCGTCAATGTGGATGGATGAGAAGAGATCTGGACGACCTTGTAAGTGTGATCTCTTTGTTTTGGCAGAGCAGCGTCAATTTGAAGACCATTTTCGTTGTAGCGGTCCTCAACGACCAGAGGCATCTGAGCGTCCAAGTTGATTTGGTGTTGAATCCCGTTGGTCAACAAGGGCGAAATGGCTTCAAGTTTTTGGACCAGTTGGGTTGAGACCTTAGGGACAACATTAATCTTGAACTCAGCTCCGTTGATGGCGTTGCCGGCAGTCTTCAAAGCCAACTTGGTCTTTCCATCAATAGAGTAGACATGGGCGGCCTGAGCAGTGTAAACCAAGGGGATACCGAAAATAGTTGGGACTTTAAGTTGTTGCTCAAAGCTCATCTCAGCTCCAGTGTAGCTGAACGCTTTCTCTCCATCAGTTTCTAATCCGCTGATATCGATTTGTCCATCAGTAACCAGACCGGCAATGAAATCAGGAAGGTGTTTTTGGTCGGCGTAGACAAAGGCAACGTCCATTCCCTGTTCGCGCTTGTAGGCGAGGAATTGAGGGGCATTCTCGTTTCTGCGCACAACAATCTTCAACTGATCAAAAATGCTTTTCAGGGTCTGAACTGGAGAGTTGACCATCTTCTGCATGGCGGAACGTCTTCCACGGACCAAGATTTTGTCGGTGGGCTGGTCGACCAGCTTCTGGAGAAGTTGGTCGACGACCTTTTCGATATTTTGTTGACGAATTCCGTATTGAGCAAAAATAGGAAGAAGATGACGGTTGATCAAGGCGTCAACGGAAAGTTGGAGATCCTTGGGGATATAAGAGTCGTTGGAAAGAATCGAAGAGAAGGTGAAAGCGGAGTTTCCGAGCAGTTCAGTATCTTGTTTGGCCAAAGACCTGTCTAGGCGTTGTTGTTGCTGGAAGCTCAAGCCTTGACGAATCAGGGTCTCCGCGGCTATCAGCTTTTGGGCTCTGGAAAATGATTTCTGATGATCTCAAGATGTGCTTACAATCTCGGGTTTCTCTTTTCCAGCTTCTGGGCCAAGCTCAAAACAGATGAAACGGTGAAAGCTCTAATGTTCATGTTGGCATCGCGCATCACTCCGAAAGAAATTTGTTGAAGCACATTTTCATCAACATTGTTGTTCAACAGCTGCTTGAGGGCCTCCATTCTGATCTCTGGGTACTCATTTTTGTCCATGAAGATAGGCAATAAGATTCTGGAGATTCTCTTCGACATTCTCTTCCCAAACTGTCTGAAGGCGTCAATGGCCACCTGACGTTGAATCCTGTCCAAGGTCTGATCACGAGCAATCTGCTCCAGCTGGGGAACGCTCAACTCGAGAGCCAAGTTTCCATAAGCCTTCAGGGCGAGAATTCTGGATTCCGGCTCCGCGGATTCAGCCAGAAGAGATTTCAAGTTCTAAACCGATATTACACACACTGGTTGTGGTTGTTACCTGGTTCAATTCATTCTTGAATTCCTCGCTGCAAACTGGTTGTTGTCTCTTCTGTTGAGCCCACAAATCACCGTTGAATTCGGGTTGTCCACACACGGCGTTGGCCAGTCTAGACCAGCTCAGGATGCAAGTTTTGTAGAGGCTCTTTTTCTCGGTGTTCATGTCACAGACTTTCCAAATGGAGCTGACAATCTCCTCGCTGACGAATGGAATGTTGATGGCGATTCTTTTCAACAAGCTGGCAGATTTGCTTTCAGAGACGTCCTTTCTGAATTTAGTGAGCAAATGAGTGATGGTTGGGTGAGTTCCAGCTGCAGCCAAAGCATCGACAATGACGGCCTTGACAAACTTGACCGATTTCTTTTCGAAAGCATCAGAGGAATAGATTTTCTCGTGGATCTCTTCAATGTCATCCTTGGAGGCATGACGGAGAATCTTCACCAAGTTCATGAAGATCTGAGGAGCTCTAGAGTCCATCTCCCAGCTGACGGATTCAGCAACAAAGGTCTGAGCCATGGCCTTCAACAAGTTCTTAACGGCTTCAGGGATATTGCTCTTCTTGATGTACTGTTGATCTTTCAAGTAGGCTTCATTTCCAGTAGCGTAGAACTTCTCTCTCTTCACGTCGAATTCATCGTTGTACACGAGGCTTTGAGGCTTCTTCTTGGTTTCAACTTCATCCGAAACTTCGAGCTGTTTGATGTCCTGGAGACGAACTTCAGTGATGGCAACTGCAGTCAAATATTGGTTTTTCGTCAAAGACAAGGGGACACTGTATTCAGCAACAGACTTGGCGTAGCTGACGACAAAGACTTCTTCAGATTCTCGCTTGAGTTCAATCTCGATGTTAGTCGACCTTTGGATTCCAGTTTGGTTGGACTCTTTCTCCTGAAGACCGTCCTGAAGTTGCTCTCCTCTGAAGAAGTTGTAACGAAGTTCGGTCGAATGGTCGCAGTTTTCAAAGTTGATAGTCTTGACGATTCTCACACAGGACTTTTGGTTCTTGTTGGATCTACATCTGTCTTCTGGAAGGATGGTGTAGAGAGTTTCACAACTTCCTTCAATCGAGGTTTCGTTGACTTTGAAGTGCTGAGTCTGCTCTTCTTGTTGGGAAAGGCTGAGTTGGAGGGAGTTTACAACACTTCTCTTGATATTCTCAGAGAAAGTTTTGTCCTTCTGGCTGAAGGTCAAATCGACGATTCGGCCGTTCTCATAGCTGAAAAAGGTTTAGAAGTAATTCAAAAATTTATACAATCCTGTGTCATCTCTTTCTTCAATGTCTGTTTATTCATTTGGAACGGGAAAAAGCCCTAAACTGCAGGTCTAGCTAAATAAAACGATATAAATATAACTTACTTGACTTCAAAAGGCAGTTGAAGAACTTTCATATGTTCCTCATTGACTTTCACCTTTCTGGCTTGTTCAAATTTGACCAATTCTCCATCCAATCGGATATTGTCATTCAATTTGGTCATTTGGGAATCATGCAGTTTGCAGACCGCTCTCTTCTGACTGAGCATTCCGCATCTCATCAAGGCTCTAACTCGTTGAACAGCATTCTGTTCCTCACCAGCCAGGCTCGAGGCCAGCTGAGCTTCGACAATATAGGAATATTCGTGCCCTTGACGAAATTGTGGGGCCAGATCCGCCGGCGAAATGGTGCCAGCGGCGACGACGGCCACAACCGCGAAAAACGCGGCGAAGACGTTCATTTTTGGTCGTGTGGTTTTCTGCTGTCATTTGGCTGCTTTTATAGGCTGCACCCGAATACAACGTCCATTGGCCTTTCGGACTGACCTCTCCCGGCTTTATCACACCTGTCAATCCCCGCAGGCGCTTGAAAGATAAAGCATCAACTCTGCTTTTGGATGGAAAGAGAGAACGTTCCATTGACCTGAGAGGAGGAGGAATTGACACGTTTGGAAGACGCCATAAAGGTCTCGAGGCGCTGCGAATTTTATGAGCAAAATCCAAGAATGACATTTACAAATTCGGATTGCTTATCATGTGAAGGGAATCGAAATCAATGACAAAGTCATGGAAAAAGATTTTGTAAATACAAAGTAAAAATAAAACAGAGTTAAATTTATTTAGCCCATATATCATTATTCAAAAAAAAATCACAACTTCTACTCGATCTTAATTCTCCACCGGGAAGTCCAAGTTGCCTCTGGCCTTCAACAAGATGTCGATTTGAGCGTCAAAGTAGTTCAACTCGTTGAATGGAACACTGTGTCTGAGGATCTTCTTCAGTTCGACCAGAAAGTCAATGTACTCTTCGAATTTGTCTTCGTATGCATCACGGGTGTAATCTTCGGCAACAAGGTAGTATTCAGCGAGGATCATGAGGGCTGGGATCTTCTCTTCGCGTGCGACCTAAAACTCATGCAAAATAAGCCGGAACTTTCTAATCAAACGAAAGAAAACATTCGCGATACACAGTATATCCGATATAGCATATTCTCACCTTGGTATCAACAAGATGAAGAGTTTGGTTGATGATGTAGTGGTTTCTCTTCAAAATGAGGTCAATGTCCAACTTTTTGTGGTGCTCTACTTGTCCGTTCTCCAAGCTCTTCACAAACCCATCACCAGTGACATTAACATACTTGAGCATGTGAAGGAACAAATCGGAGGTTGGTGATTTAGACAGGTTTCCAAAGAGTTTGTGCTTTGGCGATTCTCCTGCACTAACCGGCTTGCTGTTCTAAAACCTCCTGTAAGAATTCCAAAACAGCCAAAACTTACATCATGATGATTATGGTGAGCTTGCTTCGCCTGCCCATTTGTGATGTCAATCTGAGGCAAAGCCGAAATGACAGCAATCAGAAGGCAGAAAGAGGCAATGAACTTCATCTTGTGGATGATTCTGAATTGATATCGTCTTCTTGACGGTTTTTTTATATACTCCATGAGGAACATTTCAAACAGTAGCGAAACAGTCAAAAATGTGGACTGATTTGCATTTGAATCAAGGATTTTGAAAAGAATCCCGAAATACGAGACGAAAATAAATGAGAATCCGTCGTTGTATGACAAAACCCATTTCACAGTTGAACTATGGCGGCCATTTGACTACCATTTATGAACATTTCTCTGAGTAGAAAGCAAGGACAACGTCCGAAAAATGAAAAATTTGTTCAAAAAAAATATTACTCAAAATAAAATAGAAGCGTAATCTTACGCTTGAAACCCGCGACATTCCACTTGAACAAAATTCTGAGAAGAATATGTATTTATGATATAAAATAATATTTTATAATATTTTTGTTAGAAATTCCAAAAATTAGCTATAAAATAAAGTCGATCAATTGGGGATAGGGCTACAGAGGTTCCCCCGGCTTTAGAATTTTGAAATAATCCATCGAGAACGTTGACATTTCATCGTCGAGGAGCTCGGACACAGAACCGTCGTCCTCGGCTGAGCAAATTTTACGGTATTCATGTGGTGTCACGACGAGTTCAGGTGGCGGGTCAGGCATGAGAAACGTTGACACTTCCTCCTTGAAGTTTTTGGCCTCTTTTCCGACGTATACTGGGTAATGAGGATGAATTCGGATCAATCTGGAAGCAAAAAATACTATTGAAAAGTGATCCTCGATAAAAAAAAAAGAATGAAGAATAGGAGTTTTTCTTGCTTAGTAACACCATTTAAAGTAGTGAGAAAAAAATCGTCATCGAATTAAATAACTTTAGATATTGGTCTATGCTCAGCCTAAATTAATATAAAAATTCCACTTTCTTAACTGCTATTCAACTTACATTAGCAAGACTTTGATCCTATCGCCCCTAAACGGTCGCTCGGTTGTGAGATAAACCATCACCGGCCGGTTCAACAATGGAGAAGTGCACAGTGCAATAGATCCTTGAAAGGATTGGATTTTAGCTTCAATGTAGTTCGTTATACTCAAGTAAAAATGATCGGCCGGACTCTAAAATACTTATTGTCACCTCAATCACAAATTTCTGAGCTTTTTACGTAGCAAAAAGTACCATTATCCGCTGAATGCCATCTTTATTTACCATAAAATGGCAATGTTGCCTGTCCCGAAGAAAACGTAACAAACGATTCGTCCCCGCAATCCTAAATAATAAGAGAACGCATAAAGACGCAACTTACCAAACGGCGGCCACATTATAAAGTTTTCCCATCCTTAGATCTTCCACTCCAGAACCAATCGCAATCTTGCCGATGAATGGTGAATACATAAAATTCTTGATGTCAGCGTCCGCAAACTCATTGCACAATCGAGTTTCTCCAAGGAAAATAGCTGGGGTCTCAATCTGAAAGAGAAAAGAATTATTTCTGCGCAGATCCTGAATTATTTCTGAACTCTAAAATCAGGTGGCCTAAAACAAAGCAAATTCTGCCGGAAATAATAGCGAATTACAATCTCAGCCTTATTTTGCGTTTCAATTCGTCTAGGCTGCCATGAATAGTGCAGGGGACATTAAAAAAACTAAAAAATCCGGACTTCTAAACCAAGGCATCTAAAATAATGTCCCGGTCAATGAAATCCAACAATAAAAGTCATATCAAAAATAGAGGCGGCAAGAATTAAAATAAATAAGATGCCCTTCCCCTGCTTCAGCCCAAAAACCATAAGAATCTTCCACTGCCGTCTAAAAATCAAGCAAAAATAAAAGTGAACTTACAACAACAACCTCCTCATCCTTCACCTTATAAACTGAGGTGTGAAGCGGATTAACACATTCATAAAAGTCTCCATCCTCAATATAGTACCAATCACCCACTTGCGGATTCAAGAAATCGTATTCAATCTCGCAGCCGTTGTAACAATGGTAAACTTTGGCGTTCCCATCCTCTGATTCCCCGACCACAACCGCGAACTCCTTGGAATTCACTGCATGGAGAGTCTGCTTGTCCGACATGACTGCATTGGCCAGACCATCAGGGATTCACGCCGGCAAGCCAGATTGCGCGAGATTTTCCGCGAAAACGAAAGGATTTATTGGCATTTTCTGTTTTCGTGGTAGAACTCAGAGAGAAGCCGGTGAAAAGAAAATTTCGGTCGAAAGATCCAAAAAATTGACAGTTTTTCGAACTTTCTGAATGAATTTGACATGCATCGCCTTGTTTTGTCGTAAAATCTATCATTTTTTAATTTTTGAACCGTTGCGTACGTGCATCCATGAACGTTTTAATTTTTAGTCATCAGAAACAAAAAATCTTTTGCTATAAAACAAAGTGTAAGCCAAAGGAGCTGCCAATCTAACGTTTTTTTTAATTACATCAATCAAGATCTCTGATTCAACTCAAACCCCAACTTTTTGATGACTTTCCGTTGAATGCAGCCTTTGATTTGTCTCTTCTAGATCAATTTTTGTTTTTGATGACTAAAAATTTTAAAAAAACAGTTTACCATTTGCCACTATAAAAACAAAACCCCCTGAAGCAACGGGAAAGCACCTAGCTAGCAGCTGTGGCTTCAACGCTGCGAAGATACGATGAGTAAATTATTGATGATATTTTTGTCGTTCTTAACTTTGATTGAGCATTCTGGTGGGTATAAGATTTTGGTATGGTCGCCAACCATCAGCAAGTCCCATATGATCCAAAACGGTCGGTTGGCGGATGCGTTGGCTAAGGATGGACATAATGTTGTGAGTAAAGCGCATGCTTTTACATAAGGGCTCATATAAACTTTAAGGTAGCTACAGTAGTCCAAATAGCTTGTCCCTTTTCTAGACTGTCCTCGAAACTGACGTAGTCGAACTCCCCGGATCTCTGAAAGTTGTCAAACACGCAAATCTCTGGACAGAAACCTTTGATTGGCCCGAAAGAGAGCGAATTCTATCTAAAAATTTGGACCTCCTCTCCTATGGAGTCCTCAATGGAATTGGCCATATGGATGCAATAAACCGCAAGTCTGGAGAGTCTTGTCTAGGTTAGCTTTCTCAATGGTATCTTTTGTTGTTATCTGTAGGATTAAAAATCAAATTTTAAGCCCTTCTCCGAGACAGAAGGATAATTCAAAAAATCGCAGCCGAAAAATTTGATGTCATCATTTTTGGGCAATTTGATGTTTGCCCTTTTGTAATCGCTCATATGCTCAATATCTCTGTCAAGATTTGGATGAGCAGTTGTCCAATTATCGAGCATCAAGCAACTTTGGTTGGAATACCAGCGGAATTCAGTTATGTCCCTGCGGCGATAAACGGATTCACCGGGGATCGGATGACAATCATTGAGAGATTCTGGAACATTGTGAAAAGATTTGGACAAAGTTACAGCTACTTGAAGTACTGGGATGAGTTTTATGCAAAGTTGAAATTGGAGTATGATGGGTAAGGAGTTTGTGCGAACTGTTGCGGGAAAACTTTGGATAAACTAGGCCATAATTCCAGAGGAAATATTCATGGCATCTTTCTTTAATTTTAGTGATATTACCCACCCAATCGACCTCGCCAAGACCACTGATCTCGTCTTTATCAACACTGATGAGCTCCTCGACTTCCCTCGCCCCCTCCCTCCTAATGTCATCCATATTGGCGGATTTGGGATGGATAAAGTTGATACTACTCTTACCAAAGAATACGAGGCTCTAATGTCCGAAGGAAAGGAAGGAATTGTCTATTTTTCTTTCGGATCCATAGTTCCAACCAATTCTCTTCCGCAGACATACAGGAAGAATATCATTGACAGCTTTGGCAGATTGAAGGATTATTTTTTCATTATGAAGATCTCAGAGAACGACAAATTTTCTGCCGGATACGCTAAAGGTTTTAAAAACGTCTTTATCAGCAGCTGGGCACCGCAAACTGCTATCTTAGGTAGACTAAATATCGAAACCAACGAAGTGCAGCCTAATTTTTTAGCCCATCCTCGAACGAAGCTCTTCATTACCCATGGAGGATATAACAGTATCATGGAAGCTTCAAGATTTTCGGTACCATTGCTCCTTATAGGAATGTTCTCTGACCAGCCAAGAAATTCAAAATTGGTCGAAAGAAATGGATGGGGTCTGAGCTTGGATAAGAGATCGTTACTGTATGGGACGGAGGAATTCGAAGGGAGAATTCAGGAACTTTTGACCAATCTAACGTAAGTTTAGTTATACCGAGATCAATCGGTAAAAAATACGAGGTATCAACCTCTATGTAGTGTCAAAAGAGCTGCCGGAAATGAAAACTAAAGCCTTGAATCCGATTGGATTTCAGCTACAAACAAAATGCCATAAGAATTACTAACCTCGCCAAGACAAAGCCACAGACTGGAGAACAGCGCCTTCTTTCTTATGTCAGATTTCTTGAATCTAATGGCGGCCATCTTCCGGAACTGAAAACTATCGCCAGCGACTTGTCGCTGATCGAATACTTAAATCTTGATGTTTTGGCTGCAACACTCTTATTCATCATTCTCATTGCTGCGACAGTCGTTTATGTTATCAGAAAAACTCTGCCGATTGTTGTGAATGTAGCAAAAAGAAAAATTGAATGAATACAAATGTAATAGTTTTTAGGCAAATAAAGTGCTAGAAACCCCGTTTTGAGCCCGGTAAACGTCAGTGATAGAAAATCGCTAGGACACAAAACAGTCGGGTAATTGCCACGGCACTGGCAAACGTCAGCGCTTACATTTCTCTGAGTATGATGGTCGAGAAAGTAACATATCTTATTGTCAGTCTGTTGGAAAAAATAATGTGGATTCGTCGGAGGCTGGAGATTTGCTGCACGACTGCGACGAGACGGGAAATTTTGCATCCTCTTTATTTATGTAAAAATTATAAATAAATCTCTACATATAATACGTATTATAATACGTATGTCAGAGTCTTGATGTTTTCATATTAGCCGAATTAAACGTTCCTTTCCATAAAACTGAAACCTTTGTTCTGCGTTTTCTTGAGTTAATATAACCACAAGTGATGACATCCAGCTGTTCCAGGAAGGCCATACGATAATCCTTACTTAAAAAAAGCTACGTGCACTTATGTATTTGCAAACTTACTTCAAAAAATACGCAAAATAGTTGGAAGCCAAGCCCATATTGAGTTGCCAACCGCCGTTCATTTGCAGCAAGAAGATATACCCTGGATCGTTGAGGCCGGAAGGCATAAAAATATACTGCACACCGGTTGCCATAAGCCAGCAAGAAACTTGGCTGATAGTTATCAGACTTAACGGCTTCACCGTTTTCAAAAAGGCTTCTTGATTGTGATTCAGGTAGAACCAAATGAATGTGTAGCAAGCGATTATCAGAACGCAAAAGATGACCTGCATATATCGCCAGACATGCTGGTCATCTCCGGTGTATGTCTGAACAAACGAGCATACAACCAGCCTTAAATTTGGTTTCTTCGGACAACTTGACTACATACTTACATATTCCTATTCTTCGTCATTCCCTGATAATTTTGATACATGATAAGGTTCGATTGGGTAATTGGTATTGCCAGCAACATTGCCAAGTAGTAATGTCGAGGGATCTTTTCGTATCTACATATATTTTATAAGAAATGAAATTTGCAAAGAAGGTTACTCACTTGACAGGAAACAGTACACAGAACAAACGATCAAAGCTGATTACAAACATCAACGGAGCCCCCATATTAGCCCCCATTACGGCTGGTATATAGAGATAAAAAACATATTCCAGAGGCCTGAATGGATCGCCTAAGAGATAGTAGAAGGCAAAAATTATGTGGCCTGTCTGGTGCAGGACGTCAGCACCAGCGTTAATTGCAATAAATATGTTGCATCTTGATCTGAGTCTTCTGAAAAAAAGTAAGATAATCTTCATAAATTTTTAAGCCCATGCCTTTTCCGATCAGTCGCCAGAATTATGTTCAGATTTCCGAAAATTCCAATTATAGAAAATAGAATGGTCAGAGAAATCCCGGGCAAGGCGGGCAGCGTGTAGACATCAAAAGGCTGCGGGTAATCCGAAGGCTCCCACATCGTTGCTATGATGGCACAAGCAACAATACACTAGCAACAGACATACCTTTAATGTCACACCAATTGTACTTAAAATCCTGTTATTTTCGATGCAAGTTTCAAAATTTTTGAAACAAATATCTTGACTACATATGTTTCGGTCTGTATGATACCTAGAACTTTCAGCAGACGTTTCAACCTACATTCTCATAGACAAGTTTTGTTTTTAGCTTTCGCAGAACAAATGTACTTGCCCGTTAAACTGTAGTCACTGTGAGTGCAAACCAAAATATTGGCAAAAAAGGCATGGAAAAATTTCAAGGAAATCAGCATTTGTCACCTTTTTCATTACAGTTTCTAAACTCATCTCTACCTATAGGTTACAGTTGAGTTCTGTAGAAAATTTCAAGCGCAGTGAAGAGCTACAATTCCGATATTTCTTGCGTGACTTTTTTACACTTCTTCAAGTGTGGTGTTATCGTAAGATGTCGGAGGTTTACAGGTTGAGATGTTTTCAACTTTTCTATTATACTCAACAACATACGTATGTATGTCGTTAGGCGTTAACTATTACAAAATATGGTGAAAGTTAACCAAGATTACCGTAGACCGTTTTTGAACAAAACACCACGATCATGGATCATTACGGCGGAATAAAATGTCATCACTGAAGTTGCACCTAGATTTGCAATATCTTCTATAGGGCCTTGAATCGAGCATCTATCGCGATTTGAAAGCAATTTCAACACAAGCTACACTAGTATTCCAGACACCTATAATCATTATTATAAAGCTTTGCTGCAACCGCAAAATTTTCTGGCAGGAAAACCCGGAGCTTAATGTCTGGTAACATTTTACACAAAGTTCTTGTTTGTGCCTAATTTCGGTTTAAAATTCAATTGATCTTCCAAGCGAGACGATCGAAAATTCATTGACATTTTACCATTTACCCTTGTCAAATGTTATTTATTACGCTGTCTCTTTGGTTCTCATTGGTTTGCGCAAACCACGCAAAATTAAACAATTTGTGCTTCTACCGTAACACATTATATCGCCATAGTGTGGTGCATCCTGCATTTTGGGGATATGTCCCTAAAAAAACGCTTTATGGATTGAATAGAGATCCTTAAATAACTTCTCAATGATGCAATAAAATACATCAATACTCCTTCTCCGATCGAGAAGACCTCTTTTCTTTGAATAGAGAGGAAGTTGTTATCATTTTAGAAAGGAAAGAGGAAGCAAAAAATAAGCGACTCCCACCGTATTCCGCTTTACTCTTCATGGGGATGTTACTTTCGGTAAGACAAGGAAATATGTTCGTAATAGAGTAACTGTTGAAAACTGAAGCAATAGCTTATAATCCTATAAAGAAACGACCAAATACTAAGGTTTCATCCCACAAGAAAAGTTACAGGTCAGCCAAATCGACTCACTTTTATCAAAAATAATATCGGACCGAGACTTGACTCATGCATACTTGATTTGTGGACAAATTGGCATGGGAAATACAGTTTTTTGAGACTTATAAAAATTCAAATATTTTTGTACCCAAACACATTTGTAACGAGATAGCGCTGGTCAAGCCGCTGTGGACTTCACGTGAAAAGAGAATAAATTCGATTAAATCAATCATAAACCAGTAATTTTTCGATTCTTTTTCTCTAAGATGCACCCGTCGCTGTTACGGAACCCACATCATTCCCAACGTCACAAGCTACAAGTTCACAAACCGACAACAACTTTTTTCAGCAGGTTTTACTCTTAAATTTAAACAGAGAAAAGTTTAATATAGTATCCGTTACTTTTTAGACCTATATTCTTAATCACTTGTTTTTCATATGACACTATCAACCTTTACTATACATACGATCAATCTCTATCAGTCATTGTTTTGTTGATGTTTTGCCAAACTTCGAAGACGTCGATCATAACAGGCGAGCAGTTTCCTTGTTTATGTCGTAATGGCTTTCTTATCACACTGATATTACGGTTGTACTTCAATATCGCTGTCTGATGTTTGTTTTCGTCTTATAATACCTACAGCAGCCAAAACATTGAACTCAATATCGCATTCAGACAAAATTCTGTGAACTTTTATCAGTGAAGTAAGCCTTCAACTCGAATCGACAGACAGATTATATAGGTACAGTAACTTCGGAAAATTTAATTTTATGCTGTCTGAAAATCAAATGTGTGCTGATGCTCCGTGGCAGATCTCCGGTGCGTAGCTGACCAAAAATTCTGGGGGGAGGTCCGCTGGGAGGGGGTCATGACCGGTCTTCATATAAAAAAACTTGAATTTTGCGAAGAAAAATTGCCCATTTTCGTTTTTTCCAGTATCAAATCCGCTTCCAGCCAGAAGCCTTCTCCATTGCGATTTTATCCGTGTTTTTGAACTCACCGTCTACAGATCAGCTTCCATTTTCTAGATGATAATTTATCATCCCTTAGCTGATCTCGAGATCTCCTGATCCTTATACCCTTGTTTACAAACATTTTTACGAAACGCCGAATCTTCTCGTCGAATCATAAAAGTCCGAAGATTCATGTTGACGTCAAAAAGTATAAAATACAAAGTATAACCATATGAATTTTACAACCAAAATATTGCGTAATACATCAGATATCACTGTATCTCCCTTAGGTTTCCCCTGCTTTTTTTCTGTGTGTTTTTTGCCCTCATTTGCCCAGATCACAGTTCACGGCTATAGCATAAACTATCTTGTCCTTTTTTTGTAATGGGCGGGAGAATGATTTCGAAAATGAAGTGGTGGTTGGGCTCGTTATTAAACCAATTGAATTCAAGTTCATTTGCTATATATACGGGTTGAAAAACTCAAACATGGGCATTGTCAAGAAGTCCTTGATGTAAGGACACCATTATAAGGACAAAGGACATTAAGGGGATCAAGTTTGAAGGACTTTGAAGAGCTCTTCGTACGATTCCTACGAGGTTTATCCCATGTTTTCCTTACTTTAGAGTTTTATTAGGTTGGTCCGATGTTACAGCCACCCATATGGCATGATTTCCCCTGTACTGGCCTCCCGGCTTTGTTACAGTACCTTTCCTCTCCTGTTTTCTCATTGTCAACCATGTTTAATGGTTGATTAATTCAAAATTTGTTGATTTTTGGTCTCTAATTAAAAAACTACCGTATTCTAAATCAAAAGTCCAAACTATACAGTCTGGAAGTCTCAACAAAACTTCGAGAGCTCCCTTTATGGTTAATTAAAACCAAGGGTTCAAACCACGTGAAATTCCGCAGTGGAAAAACTAACGAAGGCAGTCCGGTTCTGCTTATAAGTCAATCAAATTAAGTTTTAAAGAGCAGATTTGGTAACTGTCTGAGTGAGCGTTTGTAGCCTTTATAAACTGAGGTGAACCTCAATTTGGTATAGTGAGCTGAAAGAATCGAAAAGTTTTGTTTTTGTAGCAGAACTAAGCTAAAGCAAGGTCGTTATTATTCTAAATCTTGTCTATGGGTCTACAAAACCGTTCGTTAGCCTGTTTCCGGTTTTTTACGCACAAATCCCAATGTGGTAAATGTGCTATTGGTTTTTGTGACAAAATGCCACAGAAATTATTGGCTGGGGTTTCCCAGTTTTCAGCTGGTGTTACCTCTCAAAACCATGCTTTTTTCATAATTTCTTTTACCTTTTTGTTTTGTCGTGACCCGAACCGTCGTCAACTCGAAAAATATTTTTTTTTGCCTGTTTCAGCTATCAAGTTTTACCTTGCACATCCATGCTTTGATCGTTTTTGTCTAGTGGAACATAATTAATTTCAGGCAAAAATTAGTTTTACATTTTGAGCATTTTTTCTAAAAGTAAAAATAAGAATCTTTTGGTCCTTTCAAAGCTTTATTTGACGCTTGGGTCTCCTTGTTCGTATCTAAACTGTTCAAAGTACGCTTTTTGCATAAAATCCCGAGACTGTTTTGCCAGCTGTTACACTCATTGTTACTTCTTCCCCATTGTTCCCCTGGGAAACGCCGCCCACACTTACTACGACCAAATCGCAAACTAAAACTATATTACGTATAACGTGCTGGCTAAACAAGAATGTCGGGAGTCGAAAACTGAGAATGTTTTATTGCAGATAAACCACGAATTTACTAACCATACACGCAAAATGATAGTGTGGATCGGAATTTTACTACTAATGCAACATGTGGCCGGATACAAGATTTTGGTGTGGTCACCCACGATAAGCAAGTCTCATATGATCCAAAATGGACGAGTGGCGGATGCGTTGGCTCGAGATGGACATAATGTGGTGAGTAGAGGGAATTTAAAGTCTTTTGGGGTTAGAAACTAGAGGAAGTTATAAATTTTTATATCTATTTGTTTTAGACTCTCCTCGAAACTGATGTAGTGGAATATCCCGGGTCTCTGAGGTCAGTCAAGCACGCCAATTTCTGGGCCGAAACCTTCGATTGGCCAGAACGACAGCGGGTCCTCGGTGCCGATTTGGATCTTCTCTCTTACAGCATGAAGAACGCTCTGGACATGTTGAATGCAATGAATCGAATGCAAGCATCCGCTTGTTTGGGTAGGTATAATTAGAAAATTCATATCAGATAGGTTCTAAAAGGTTGAGAGGACGAGAAAATGACGTGTAGTTCCCGGAAGTCACCTTGAGACGGGGTGTTGGAACCTTTTAAGTTTGGAGTCGTTAAAAATTAGTGATTAGAAACGATTGAACTTTTGGTTGCAACCGATAATTAAGAAATGTAGGATGAAGTAGAAATTGTTGACGACTAATACGACAAATTGCACGAACAGACGCTAATTTTACGTTCCCACTTTGACACCTCCTTTGAAAGCTTTGACATTCCGTTTTTGACGAAGTGTCACAAAAATTATTGGAAAAGTAAAGAGTAGCTTTTCGAAGTAGACCAAGCCTGGAAATTGTGGCCAAACTGGTCTAATTGTTTAACTTTAGACCCATTTTCAAATATCTGTTTAGATTTTTACACTTCTAGTGTCTAGTGCAATATAATTGCCTTCTAATTTCAGCTGTCCTCCGAGATGAAAGAATCATGGGGAAAATTGCTGCCCAAAACTTCGACGTCCTCATGTTCGAGCAATTCGATGTGTGTCCCTTCGTAATCTCGCACTTGCTCAACATCCCGGTGAAAATTTGGATGAGCAGTTGTCCAATTATGGAGCACCAAGCCAGTGTTGTTGGAATCCCCACGGCGTACAGTTTTGTGCCCTCATCGGTGAATGGGTTCGCGGGAGATCGAATGACCTTGTCGGAGAGGTTCTGGAATACAATTCAGAGCTTCTTGTTGAGTTATCATTATCTGGACTACTGGCACGATTTCCATGAGGAATTGAAGAAAGAGCATGGGTAAGATCTTCGAGTTTTTTGTTTGAAACTGTAGGCAGAGTGAAGGTAGAGGTGTGTTTGGCCTGACTATCTTGTATAATATAAAAAGGTCTTCAAAAATGACGTTTCAATACCTGGTTCTTTGCATAAGTCTGTAACACTAATTGCTACGTGTTTTCAGTGACGTTCCTCATCCAATTGACCTTGCCAAATCCACGGATCTTATCCTTATCAACACTGACGAGCTCATCGATTTCCCCCGACCTCTTCCTCCAAATGTAATTCATATCGGTGGCCTGGGAATGGATAAAGTTGACACCAGCCTTCCCAACGACTATGAGCTTCTAATGTCCAAAGGGAAGAAAGGAGTTGTCTACTTTTCGTTCGGATCGATCGTCCCGACCAATGCCCTTCCTCAGCTCTACATGAAGAATATTATCCAAAGTTTTGGAGATCTCAAAGATTATTTCTTCATTGTGAAGGTCTCGAAGAACGATACGTTCTCTACTGAGTACGCTTCAAACTTTGAAAACGTCTATACGAGCAGTTGGGTCCCTCAAACGGCTGTCTTGGGTAAGGATAATATAATTTTTCTATCCAAATATTGATTTTTATGGCTAAGCGGTCCGGATTGATCCTTTTTATTTCTTCTTCTGTTATCTTGGTTACCGTTGTTCATTTAGTTTTGGCAAATCATATTATTTATGACATCTAACCTCTAAAATTTTTAGCTCATCCCCGAACGAAACTCTTCATCACTCATGGTGGTTATAACAGCATAATGGAAGCTTCACAGTTCTCCGTACCACTTCTACTCATCGGAATGTTCGGAGATCAGCCAAGGAATTCCAAATTGGTCGAACGAAATGGGTGGGGTCTGAGTTTGGACAAGACGTCGCTTCTTTATGGAACTGATGAATTCGAAGCCAAAATGATGCAATTGTTGACGCATAAAACGTAAGTTTGTAGTGTGCTTCATGCAATGGAGATACAAATTGGGCTAAAGATGGGGTTTGTGTTGGGATAATTAGCCACGATATTATTTTATGTCATGTGGACGTTTGTTTGTTGAAATTTGATGTATTCAAATTGAAAATGGATTAGTAGGACGGTAAGATTTGTTAAAGTAGACCCTGAAGGCACTATCTATCAATTTCGGAAAGTAAATTTCAAAAAAGTTACATTTGAATATTCAAATTTTGAAATTCATCTAGATCAGCTTGGGGTTTTAGAAATGTTTATTGAAAGAACTTCACAAACTCCATTTTCACAATTCTCTGCATTTCTCTCTCTCTGTACGGTAGTCCGATTCCAATCTAAACGATGATTTTTACACTTTTTTGTGGTTTGTTACTTTAGTCAGACAAGGTTAAGAGCTCAAAGTTCCTTTACAGGGGCAATGTGTTGACGGACTGCGTTCCTTGCACCTGGGTTAGACATTTAGAGGTGATTATTTTGCGTGGGGTTCACGTGAAGAGAAAAATAAAAATAATTTGTCAGCCATTTGTATGGCTGATATTGCGGTAGGAAAATTGATGAATTTTTTTGGATTATTAATGGGAGATGTTTTAAAAATGTAAGGAAGTGTGGGATAGCTCAGGGTGAAATCTGAACTCAAAATTGATTCGAATCGAAAGAAACTGACTCGTCCTTAATTTTAGGTACAAGCAGAATGCACTTCGAACCACCCAGCTCCTCAAAACGAAGCCCCAAACCGGCGAACAACGACTTTTATCTTACGTCCGTTTCCTCGAAGCCAACAATGGGCATCTGCCGGAACTGAAGATGATTGTCAACGAACTCTCCCTGATCGAATACCTCAACCTGGACGTGCTCGCCATTCTTGCCTTTATCGGACTCACCGCAACAATCGCCGGAATTTATATGATCTCAAAAGCTTTCCAAATCGTCTTCAAGTCGACGAAAAAGACGAAAATTGAATAACTTGATTTTTTCATATTTCATTTATTTATGGGTATACTGTACATAGGATCAATACTACTTACTATTAATTAGAATAAATATTATTTATCGATTTTTTTGAGATTTTAAATATCTTTTTCAGTGAAATCTTTTTATGAGACAATTCCCGAAGTGTTATGGTCTGGTTGTCACCAAAAAAATTTTTGAAAAACAGAAAATCGAACAAATCGATCTCCAAACTCCAAACTTGAAATTCAGGTAAAATGCTGTAAGAAAACTGAAGAATTACTGGTATATATTTCTTGTAATCAGACCAGAAACGCTTTTATTTAACCACTTTTATCGGAGAATGTATCAACAAGTGTTCGTCGGGACCTTTCTAAATATTATATCTTTTCGAAACTTTGTTCAGCTTTTGCGCAGTTTCACCAAAAGCCCGACTTTGGGAACTTTCCTGACGTATTACTTGATTTTCGATTTAGAATTTAAAAACTCCCTCATTAATCCCATTATTCGCATGTATTAGGTTGATTCAAAAGTTTTTCCACATTTTTTTGAGACACCTCAAAATAAAATTCCTGGAGCCTGATTGAATGTACGTTAAAACTGAAAGCATAGATGTATGGGGCAGAACATTGCAAAATTTTTGATTCGTAGCATTTTATTTTATACAAGCTTCCTTTCAGAATATTTCAAAAATACTAAAAATTTCTCCGTTTGTGTCATGGTGAATATCCCGGGCCCTAGCAATTTTCCAGCCCACTAAAAAGTCTCGGGTTTTGGGTTATTCGTACTGGGGATGGCTGTAGTTTCTTCTGAATTTATTGCTCTACTTATATCTACACTGACGTTTTTTGTAGCATCCCATAAAGTTGGCCGGAGAGCCGAGCTACCGATCAAAAGCAGATTTTTAAAAATTTTTTGAAAGGAGTTAGATTTTTTTGACTCGGCTGCCATTCAGGTTGTACAAAGACAGTATGCGGATGATACATTCAAAAAGTCACCAACTGAAATTGCCTTATAAGGTAGAAAAGTAGCATAAACTGCACTTTTAGGCGAATTTTTGTAATTTTTTTTACTGGTATTTCAAGAGGACCTTCAGCTTAGCGCGTCTAGCAACTGATAGTGTATGTCAAGTAGGATCAATTATTTATTAAATAACTAGGAGACCGGGCAAGAGTAATGAACAGAAAACGTTTTTGTAAAAATCCCCTAAATTTCGTAAAATATTGGTAGATTAAAAAGATTCGATTTTTCTGCCGCATAGGTAAAGCTAGCGCGAATGTTTAGCATTGGCGTTGTAGTGCTACTCATACACAACAATAACAGAAAGCGTTATCTCTTAGTGCTTCTAATAGCTGCGTCTACAGGGTCTACTTTTGCCAGACCCTAATTTTTGATTTTTCGCACTAAAAATTTTTCGACTAGCCCTATAGCAAATTGTCCTCGATGCCATAGAGATTACATACAGGCATACCATATTCGAGAATATTAAGAAGATACAGCCACTCTAGACGTAACGCCGGCGGTTTACTTTTTCTTCCTTCGAGTAGTTAAGGTTTAACACGGCGCTACTACTACAAATTGCTAAGTTGTAAAAAGTTATTAATCTACTATAATCTACAAACAGCCTTCTTTCTAACAAGATATATATCAGGCCCACTGGCTTTGGTCTAAAATTTTATGTGGAAAAACTTTTGAATCAACCTAATAGTACATAATATATTTGCATATTAAGAGTTTTGATCAGCGACCGTTAATGCCCTTATCATCTGGTGATGTCTCGTTTGTTTTTTCGCTGTCCAAAGATTGTCCAATCTTATCTTTAACTCGTTGAAGGCTTCCTTGTTTTATCGAGAGTTGTAAAAATAATAATTTTTATTATAATTACCCGTTTAAAATGTTTTTTGAAGATGATAAGCCATTATTTGAAGTGCTTTTTGTTGCTTTCATTCGTCAGCGCGTCATACAGTTATAAGATTTTGGTATGGTCGCCGACGGTGAGCAAGTCGCATATGATCCAAAATGGACGAGTGGCAGATACGCTAGCATTGGGAGGACATAATACTGTGAGTTTTTTTGGTTTATGTATAAAAAACGTCTATTTTTGCTGTAGTCGAAAACAGCTATAAATTAATTGATATCAAAGAAAGTGGAGGCTTCTGAGGATTCAAAGAAACAAAAACTCTAACATTTGGCCCAAAAAAAGATAGAGAAATGACAGCCAATTCAAGCGGTCGGAGAAATGGAGACCCTTATACTATGTAGCCCTTCCGGAATGAAGCCTGCGACAAAGATTTTATTGAACTGTGCAATTTTTTGATTCTTGCATCAAATAGGCTTTTTTTGGCTGTTGCTCGCACCCTGACTTTTTTCACACAGTACACACGCCAAAAAACAGTCCGGCGACTTTCTGGAAGGACTAGTATAAACTCAGCATCAAAATATATATTTTTTCAGACACTCATCGAAGTGGACTATTCGATCGAACCCGGGAGTGTAAAAGCTGTCCGACATGCGAACTACTGGCCAGTCTCCCATCATCATCCTGATCGAATTCGGGGACCTCGATACCTCGAGGACATACTGTCCGATTCGATCTACAAAGAATACTACGTTTTTCACGACTTTTTTGATTTCACGGATGATTTTTGCCTTGGTAAGCGTTATCTATAATAGTTGATTTTTAATCTTAGACTTCCTTCGCAACAAAGAGCTAATGGACAAAGTGAAGGCCGAAAAATACGACGCAATTTTTTACGAGCAATACGATTTCTGTCCAATTGTCATCGCCCAAGCGTTGAATATCAAGGTTAAGGTGTGGATGTCGAGTTGCCCACAGTTGGCACATCAAGTTGCGATCATGGGGATCCCATTCGAGGCTAGCTATGTGCCAGCGGCAATGAACAACCCGAATGGCGATAGGATGAACTTTTTCGAACGAATCGGCAATATTATTCGGCTTTATCTCATGTATGATGTCCATGTCAGCGCATGGAACAGGCTTGACAGCGAGGTTCGAAAGATTTTTGGAGACAACTTCCCAAGGATTGTGGACATCGCCAAGACTGCGGATTTGGTATTTGTAAATACCGATGAAATCATCGATTTCCCGCGGCCATTACCCCCAAATGTTATCCATGTCGGAGGCCTTGGAATGTCATCAGTTCACAAAGATCTCGAGGCGCCATTTGACGATCTGATGACCAAAGGGCCGAAAGGAGTTGTGTTGTTTTCGTTGGGATCGGTGGTTCCGACCAAACTTTTACCACCTCAGTATATGAAGAACGTTTTGGATACGTTGGCAAAGTTCAAGGACTACTTCTTTATTGTCAAGGTTTGTAAGGACGATTTGTCATCAATCGAGTATGCCAACGGGACGGAGAATGTCTATGTTAACGACTGGATCCCGCAGGCCGGGATATTAGGTAAGTCTTGCGCCATGAGAAGTTTTGTTTTGAAGATACAGTGGGCGACCTTATCCAGTGGGAAAAAACGCTTCATTTTGCATCCGGGAAGTATCAGAAATGTGGCAAAATGCTTCCTTCTCCAAAACTTTGTTTTGAAGGGCGCGCCTTCTCCCTTACAAAAAAAGCGCGCGCGCTTTTGAAATCTGAGTTTTTTTCACTTGGAGAGGGAGATATTTTGCCACATTTTTTGAAACTTCCTGGATGCAAAATGGTACGTTTTTTGCCACTGAACAGGTCCCCCACTGTAGAGAGCAAAAAATGTTAAATAATCATATTTGGTCACATACCTAGCCACATTAAGCCTCTTTAGCGGTTGTCAGGATAGTTTTACGCCTTAAAGAACCATAAAAGGTATTCTTTGAACCGAAAATTTTATCGTAACAATCATTTTTTTACCACCCAACTCCACTTTCTGATCCTGTTTCCACGCATTTGCATGCAATACTCTTGATGACAAAGTTTTATTAGTTTTCTTCAGCCCATCCCCGTCTCCAACTCTTCATTACGCACGGTGGCTACAACAGCATCGTCGAGGCCGGCACGTTTTCCATTCCGCTTCTTTTGATTGGAATGATCTTTGATCAGCCGAGAAATGCCCGTCTAGTCGAGAGAAATGGCTGGGGTCTGAGTCTGGACAAGCTTTCATTGCTCCATGGCGCCGAGGAGTTTGAGGCCAAATTGACGGAATTATTGACCAATAAAAAGTATAAAACAAATGCACAGAGGGTCAGCCGATTGATGAAGACTAAGCCTCAGACGGGAGAGCAAAAGTTTTTGTCGTATGTGAGGTTTTTGGAAGAGAATGATGGCCATCTACCGGAGCTAAGGTCAATTGCCAGCGATTTGTCGACCATCGAATACCATAACTTGGACATTTTAGCTGCTTTTCTAGCTTTACTAGCCATCTTATTTACTGTATTAGGCTGTTTATTACTTAAGATTGTAAAAACATTAAGGCTTCTTTTTCATGCTAAAGAAAAGATACAATAAACCCTAAATATTCGAGTATAAGTTAAAGTTCTTCAAGCAGCACGTTCATACGATCAACCGTATAGGTAAATGCTCCAGTGTACGCGAAAGAGTCGGTGTCAGCGGCCATTTTAAAGCGGTATTTACGCAGCAGTTTGACGAGTAAGATCTTCTCTGTGAGCAGCGCTAGCCTCATCCCAATACAAATCCGGGGACCACCACCAAACGAGTAACTTTGCTCGATAGCAGAAGGCTCGAGATATCTGTAAAAGGAAGGGATAAACTTCAGTTTCTTTCGAGGAAATAACTTTCGAGGTCGGCTGCGGAATGCGATACATCGAGTCAAATTACAGCAGAGGCCCGGATCCAGTGGCAAACGATATGCCATTTTGCATCCGGGAAGTATCGAAAATGCAGCAAAATACCTCCCTCTCCAGGTGAAAAAAACTCCGTTTTGAAAAGCGGCCTTTTCCCTCACAAAAAAAGCGGGCGTGCTTCTGAAATCGGAGTCTTTCACTTGGAAATGGAGGTATTTTGTCACATTTTTGATACTTCTGGGATGCAAAATGGTATGTTTTTTGCCACTGGATCAGGTATGCCACTGTAGCTCGCTACGGTTTTAATAACGCAGCTCGCGTCCAGGATCACTTTCAAACTCAAAATAAATGACAAAACTAATATTACTTGCATTGTAAAAACCCTTGAAGGCATAACCACTTCAAATGTCAAGCAATTCCTCCTATTTGCACTATTTTTGAAAAATCTAAGGGCCCCACTTCTTGTATTCCTTACCTTTCCGGTCTAAATTCATTGGCATCCTCTCCCCAAACCTCAGTATTCCGATGCAATGTCGGAGCGTCAATTTCGATTGCAGTTCCAGCCTTGACAAACACACCGTTGCTCAGATATGTGTCCTGGGTGCAGCGGCGACTGATGGCTCTAAAAAAAATTTCGTTTGTTAAACGATCGAGTAAGATACTTGATTTTAGGACCAAAATGGACCAAAATTAAAAATTCAACTTCAAAAAATCGATAACAAATCCTATAGTGGTCCGATTCGGACAGTTCTTGGATGTAACAGTACTAGGACTCCTCGACTTTAATTTAGGGGTAGTTTCCGACCTGCAGCTTGTCACAAAAATTTTAAAAGAGATATGTCAAATGGGGGGTACCTTTTAGGACATTTTTTTTTCATAAGTCCCAAATAACCCTTCGATGGACTGAACCACTATTATGCCGTTGCTCAGCAGGGTGCCCTCTTTCATTTTTAGCAGGACGTGCCGACTCGTCCGAAAAGGGTTAACCACGACCAAAATCACTCACCCCGAGGCATTTGGTTCTAATCTCAGAGCCTCTCTGACAAAGATCTCGGCGTATTTTAGTTCGGCGAGTTGCTCATAACTGGGCTCCTGAAAATATGTGATAAAGTGAGTGTTCCTGAATTTTATGTCTTACCGGATCAACACAAACGTCTTCAATTTCTTTTCTCAATTTCTCCTGCATTTCCGGGTATTTGGCCAGATAATACGTGACAAAAGTCATGGTGACGGCCGTTGTTTCCGGGCTGAAAAGGTCAAATAAACTTGTGGCCATAGACAGAGGGTAAAAATCTGTCTTGTATGTCTTACCCTGCCAGAAGGAAGATCAAGCAAGAATACTGAATCTCCGTTATGTCCATCTTCTTGACCACTTTGGCATCTACGTTGTTGTAGACCACAGTCTTCTCATATTGCGACTCAGTCGTTTCATTCTCAAGGAGGATGTCGATAAAGTCTTCATGGCCTTCCGACTTTTCTCCCGCATCCTGGAAGACAATTTTTTTATAATAAAAAAGCGTCAAAGAGTGTCAAAAGCAAACTGTAATAGATGCTAACAACGCATTTCTACTCACCTTCAACTTTTTCCTCTCCTTGATCAACTCTCCCATTTTGTATATTCCAGCGCCGACTCCGCGCTTTGAAATCATGTTCATGCGCTGCTCAATCTCGTAAAGTGGTCGCCAAAACGATGGGAACATCCAAGACAGCATCATGATAAGACTGTTCACGTTCTTGAATTGGTAGCGAAGCTCGTCTGCCAACGGATTTTGCCATTGTCTGCTGCCGTCTTGACCAAACGCAACTCGCAGCATCATGTCCAATGTCATTTCAAAGAAGAATCTAGAACCAAAAAAGTAATAAAAAGTGGCGACGCTAAGTAGCAAGTTGAGAGCGTTAAAACTTACGGTGTGACATCGAGCGATTTCCCATTTACTCTCCTTTTATCCATGTGCTCTACCATTCGGTCGGCAGCATCGTATATCGTCGGCATTAACTGAAAAGTTTAATTTAAGATCTTGTGAATCTTTTGTATGAGGTTTTGAAACCTCTATTATACATAAAGGGCCTTAAAACTTATATTATAGATGCCCTACCCTTTTAAGATTCTTCGTGGAAAATGCCGGATTCAAAATGCTGCGAATTCTCTTCCAACGCTTCCCTCCTGCCGAAAACACGCTAACCGTGGCGATTTGGTCTGGTTCTCCATGCGATGGAGCCTCCTGAAAAAAGAAAAATGGTCAGTACATATCTTCAATGCAAATCTTTGGTCATTTCTCATAACTGACCCTTTTTGAGTGGAAAACATTGAATTTCTCCACCATGACCTCCTTCACTAATTTTGGATCGCTGAGAACGAGGAAGTTCACAGCGCCTTTTTGGAATCCATAGCAGCCGCCGTACTTCCGCGACCATTCGGAGATTATCTTGGAGTAGCACACGGTATTCCAGCCCGTAGTCCAAAGGCAGCCAAGAACTGGCAAGGATGGGGGACCTGGGACATTCAGACGTCTCCAGTACGTCGTGTGGTAGATGGCTTTTCTAAAAGTCATATAATTTCTGAACAAAAATAACGCAAATCTTTGATTGAAACATCCAAAAAAGGTGGTTACGTCCAAAAATTGGACAAGATTACTTTGTCCAATTTTTGGACAAAAAATTTTGCCTATTTCTAGCTCTAAATAGCCTCATAGTTCTGTTTTTCGGCATCCCTGCGCCGAACCTCCGCTAGTTGCTTGAGGGCCTCGAGGCCAAAAGATCTTCTTTCAAAAAATGAAAACTCAATCTTGAAACCAACTTACATCAACCAAGCCGCCACAAAAACAGCAACACACGTTGCAATCGAAATCATTGCGAGCCTAACTTTCTCGACGCCCGCGCGCTTTTATCGCGGAGTTGATAAAAACAATTTGGGGGTCTCTTTTATATTCTACAGCGATCGTTACACAATAATCTTTTCGCCCATTACCGAGTGGGTTTTTTTGTCTTGTGACCAGTTGAGTAGGAAAATAAGGAAGGAAAAACTGCTCAAACGAGAGCGGCAATTGTAGTCAGCCTTGTCTTGTTACAATTTTTGTTGCAATCCATGACTTCAAATTTGTTTTTGTCATAGCAATTCAAGGCCAAGTTTTAATCATAGTGCATATAGTACACCACCATTATTTCTTCTTCTGTGATCACCAAGATCGTATCAAAAAAGTGAGCGACCAATCACAAATCAGAATGTGATTTGTGCTTTTGATTCTGCCAGTGTCACAAAAACAAAAACAGCTACGTGACGGAAGCTTATGCATCATGTATTTATCGCGCGTTTGTTGAAACGTCTTATAAAGGACGATTAAAACTTTAATCGGCAGTGAAGGCAGAATTTTAATATACAATTTTTTGAGCTAAAATATTACAGAGAGGCATCTTGAACCACCCTGTAGAACGTTTTTGAAGAAGATGTCATGATGATGGGGTTCTTTGGATTGCTGCTAAAATCCGTATTGCTTCTACTTTAGACAAAATCATCATGGATAACGCCTGGAAAAAATCAGAAAATCGTCAAAAAATCAACAATATATGCATAGCTTTACATCAACAATATTTTGATTTTTCTACCGTAATCCACTTACTACGGCAATTCATAGTAGAATGGAAGGTAAGATTTGATAATTAGCAAAGAGAATCTGCATGTTGTGAAACATAATTGCACCAAGTTTCATCCAAATACACCGATTCCACAGTTATACAAATTTTCAAAGTTTAAGCGGTTTCGGCTCGAAAATAATTATTCAAAACTTTGGGAAGGCAAAGAAAGGTCAATTCAAAATATATTTTTCTGAAATTCAATCGGTTAAAAATGGCGGGTCTCAGCTACAGGAAAATCTGAATTTCGGGAAAATCGGCGGAGTCTCCGCGGAGAAATTCAACGAAAAAACTTAGAGTGGCTTTTTGGATACGATATCTGACGTACAGGTCGACCAATTTTTGATTGTTCATACTGTATGTCTTAAACATGTACTTTTAATCGAAGAGTGGAACGTAACGCTCCTTTCTCAGACGGATTTTATTACCGGTCTAAAACATGAATCCTACACTAATTTTTGTGTTTAGGAACATATTCGGAATATTTAAAGACAGCTTCCAAACTCTTATATACATATTTGGGGTGTTGCGGCTTTTCGAGTCATCGAGAGTTCGGGTCAACGATACTATGGATTGCGGGTTTGCAAAGATTATGTGTCGTCGTTAGCAAGGGGTAGGCTAGGAGACGGCTGCGTTAGGATAACTAACAAGATTAATGCCCTTGGATAGCTTAACACCTAAAATTTGGGAACAGCCATTGCGTTGTCCAGACATCCCGCTTTTCTTTAATTAACAACGTTTTGTAGCATTGCGCACCTTATTTATTCTTGCTTAAAGTTTCACAGAGATACATGCGAGCGTCGCATTTTGAGCACTTCCTCATTAAAAATTGATCACTCCTTCTGACAGTCACCATCATTAGTCAACAGAGACGTTCATTTGAAAACATTTAGCTAACCTCGAATTAGCTAAATGGCTTGGATCCCAGCAAAAGTCCGGGCGCTCCGGACTCATTATAAAGTGCGGGCTGTTCGCTATTCAAAACGTTTTGTTTTTACTCTTTGCAAACTCGTTTTGATGTTCGGAGGGACTTATCAGTCAAAACTTTTCGAGACTGACCGATTGACCAACAAAAAAATTAGAGGGCAGTGTAAATAACTAGTATTGTACTTTAGAAGGCGTCTGGGAAATGATGAGAACGTCGCTCCTTATATCAGAGTTGATATTGTGCTGCAGCGGGCTGCTGTATCCACAGGTAAGTAATGCAAATCCGTCTTTGCTTTTTTGATGGCTAGAGGAGTACTTGAATTAATCACAGCAAATTTTATAAAGCTCTTTGGGAGGGCAGCCGACAAATTCAACACTGTTTGTTGACAACACGGTGCGCAAAGTGTGAAATCAAACCAGAAAAAAAATGTTTGATAGTATCTTTTTGAAAATGTATTCTTGGTGGCGTCTCCAGAACGAGACAACATTTCAAAATATAAAACAAAGCTCAAAAATATTCTCAAAATAAATATGCAATATATTTAATCCAAACCTGTTAGCTAGCTGGTAGTTTTAGCGCCCCTTTTTGAGGATATCCCCACAAAAGAATTGTCTTTTTTAGCGCAATGAAATCCGCGGCCTCGACTCGCTTGATGGCCTATGGACATTTGTTCGCGAGCCGCCTCTAGCGTTCAACCTTGGAATTATCAACAAATGGTTTCAACGAGACCTCGCAAAGTTCTCAAATGCCACACGAATGCCGGTCCCGGCGGCTTTCAACGATTTGCTGACAGATAGAGATGCTCGGAATCATGTTGGTTGGGTTTGGTACCAAACCATTTATTACCGGAGAGCCAGCGATGCCAGTAAGCGGTTGATATTGCGGTTTGGAGCTGTAAATTACAGGGCGATCGTGGTAGGTCAGCATAGGCAATTCAATACGTTAAAATCTCTTCTAGTACATAAACGGTCAAGAAGCCGGCCAACATGTTGGGGGATATCTTCCGTTTGAAATCGAGCTCCCGGAGAATACCATCGAATATGTGATCACAGTCGCAGTAAACAACATTTTGAATGGTGGGACCATTCCACAAGGCACTTACACGGGTGGCCGATTTGGAAATGTCTCCTACGCTTATGATAGAGCCAATTGCGACTTCTTCAATTATGCCGGGATTCTGAGGCCTGTTTCTGTTCAAGTGTTGGACAAAGTGTACCTCAACTCATTAAAAATCACAACGGAAGGACCAAGTAAGAAAGACTATATAAGATTCAATTTATATACATCTTTTTAGACATATTGAACTATTCGTTGACCGTTGACAATACTAAGCTGCCAATTATCATCTACATGACCCTATACGACCCGGATGGGAAACGAGTACAACAAGTTAAGTGGCCAGCGCCTTTTAAACCTATCGAAAACGTGCAGTTTTGGTGGCCAAGAGGCTATGGAGAGGCCAAGCTGTATAAATTACAGGTAGATTAGGCAGTCAGTTTGTATTGTTTAGATCAAAGTGACCTCGCAAGGCCAAGTCTTGGACTCCTACACAGAGAGCTTCGGATTCAGAACGGTTGAATTCAAAAGTAGGCAAATCTTTGTGAACGACAAGCCGTTTTATTGCATCGGCTTTGGAATGCATGAGGAATATGAGGCAAGTTTTGCGGCTTCAGCCGGGTTTCTAACCTTCATAAGTCAAAGACCGCGCCTACAACTGTAATTTTCAGCTCCATGGCCGAGCCTACAATCCGGTCGGAATAACCAAGGACTTGAATATGTTTGAGTGGCTCCATTCGAATTGCTACCGGACTTCTCATTATCCCTATACGGAGGAGAGAGCCTACGAAGCAGATAGAAGAGGAATAATGGTGATTACAGAAGCTCCGGCGGTCAGTTTGAGGTAAGTGTTATAAATCACCAAGTGACTTGTGAAGGTGGTTCTTTGTTTATCACGGCCAATTTTCATGTTAACCTCGCCTTTGTCTTCTAAAAACCTTCTACTTAAACTTTTAGCACATTCAACAACCCTCGAATGCTGGCGCTTCACAAGCAAATGATCCATGAGATGATTAGCCGGGATCAAAATCATCCCTCGGTTATGGCGTGGTCCTTGGCCAACGAACCACTATCCTGGAACAGCGGCGCCGGCGCTTACTTCAAGAACATAACCGCGTACGCGAGAAGTTTAGACAACCGACCTCTTGGCGTTATTTACGGGGCGAGCGGAGATTTTAGCGACAATCAGAAGACGGCAGAGACCTTGGACTTTTTTGGAATCAACCACTACGACGGCTGGTACACACACTTGGACATGATGGATCTGCTCGAGACAGGGATGTACAAGACAATGAAGAGTGCGCATAACTTGTATCCAGATAAGGTTTTATTTATCACGGAATATGGCGCCGAAGCGCTACCAGGTTACAGTCAAGTAAGGGTTTATTGCCAGGAGGAGAAGTCTTATTGGCTTGTATAATAAATACATTCAATTTTATCTCTCATCTGATTTCCTGCGGGTTTATCCACCGATTGCAGGTGCAAGGAGCCCCCTTTACGGAGCAGTATCAGCACGATGTTTTGAAAGAGAATTTCAACGCCATTGATCGTCTCAAGGACGAAACAATCATTGCTGGTGAGATGATATGGACATTTGCTGATTTTATGACTCATCCAGGTAAGCAAGGCTTTTTTTATGTCTTTATATCCAACTTTTAGATACCACAAGGGCCTATGGGAACCATAAAGGAGTGCTGACTCGACAACGACAGCCTAAACGCTCGGCATATTTAGTGAGAAGGCGATATAAAAACATTTTCAAAGAGTTGCAGAGCTTGTGAACTGAATTAACGTAATCAAGAGGCTTTCTTGCACTTCATGCAGAACAAGCTTTCTTTGCTTGTCCTGACTGGAATTGCCATTAAATTTTGATTACTAAAACATCATATCCTTTCGTTTTAGCCCGTTTTTCCTTGGTTTTTTTGTCATTTGATCGCTGTATGGTTCTTGTTTCGCTCTTAATTTTCTTAGAAAAGTTTATTTGGTCGTTGCAATAAATGTACACGCTACTAGAACTACAATTGTCATGACAGTGAAAAGAAGAGGGTATCAGATTTTTTGGTGTTGGGGGCCTTTCTTGTTCTTCCATCCTTTACTTCCACAAGTCCAAAACAATACGGCCGTTGATCTGGTTGTTCAGCATTCTGTCGTAGACTTTGGGGAGTTGATCCAATGGGACCACTTCGCATGGGATCTTGACTTGGCCACGAGCGAAGAAGCGCAGGGCTTCGTCCATGTCCTGACGGTTGCCGACGTGCGAGCCGCGGATCTTGATGGTGCGGATGATGGCGAAGAAGGCCTCGAACGTGACCTTCGAATCTCTGGGCAAGGCAACCATGACAACCGTTCCTCGTGGGCGAATATAGCGGATCGCATCCTCAACCGGCACCTTGGATGGGGCAAAGTTGCACATTCCGTGGGGACCGCCCTCGGTCAGCAGCTGAACCGCACTGACAATGTCGTTGGTCTTGAAGGGGTCGAGGAAGTAGTCGGCTCCCATGCTGCGGCAATGCTGTTCTTTGGCCCCGTTCTCAATGGCCAAGACCCGCATGCCCATGGCTTTGGCGTATTGGACGGCGAGGGTTCCGAGGCCACCGCCGGCACCAGTGATGGCAACGATTTCGCCGGGTCGGACTTCTGATTCTTTGAGGGCTTTGTAGGCGGTCAGACCCTGAAAATGTGATATCCGTGATACCGCTCTAAATTCTTTGCTGTTGCCGAAAAGGGGTTTTAAACCTGATTTTATCTTCTTCGTTTCAATTTTGAACTTTTTGTCATCGGAAAATCTCAGAACCTAATTTTCCAATTCTGTGTGGGCGAAGTGTTAACCCTTAACTTTTTAAATTAATTTTTACCCCGATATGGTCATCAACTTACGGCACAAAGGATTGGAGCGACTAGGGCCATGTCAACGCCTTCTGGGATCGGAGCGGCTTCAGTTCCCTTGACGGCGGCATATTGTTGGAAGGATCCATCGCGATGGAATCCGGAAAGGACGAGTTTCTCACAGTTGGGTTCGAATCCGCGCTTACATTGCTCACAACATAAGCAGGAAGAGTTGATCCACTAAAAACGAAAGTGTGAGACTTTTGTAGGATCTTGACGTTACTCAGGCCGTGTATACCACGCCATTGTCATAACTTCTTAAGCAGACCTACCTTAACACCAGCACGATCTCCCAACTTGAAGTTGGTGACGTTGGTTCCCAACTTAACGACAATTCCAGCACCTTCGTGACCACCAACAAGTGGAGGGGTCTTGGCCTTCAATGGGAAATCTCCCAGCCAGACGTGAAGATCGGTGTGGCAGACACCGGAGTAGATGATCTTGACCAGGATGTCATCAGGGCCAAGTTCGGGGACGGGGATCTCTCTTATATGGACCTTGCCATTGTGCTCATCGAAGACGGCGGCTTTTTGGGTACGAGGAATGGGCTCCAAGGTAGCCATTGCAAACTTGTTAGTTGGGTTGGAAGACGAGTTGAAGACCTATGAATAGGTTGGAAATATCGTAGCGATCCAGCGCTTATATACTGTTTATTTCCGGGGGAATTGTGGGAAATTCCGGGGAAAAATCACGGTCCAACCCCCAGCGATAAGATCGATGTTCCACCCCTCTGGGTTGGGGCTGGCAAGAGGGGACAATCGGAGGAGAACTCACGAGTAAGCGGGACTTCTGACCCCGCCTTGTTGTCGAGATTAATGGCCGCTTTGCATGTTTACGTATCGCCTGCAACCAGCCGGTGTAAGGGTGAGCGTGGACTGTAAAATTGAAGATATTACTGCACAACCGGCAAGGTAAACATTATTTTTAGAGCAATTTACAATTTCTAGGAGCGTGACATTTCCGTATAACGGATTTTGAAGAAGCGAAAAATAGGATTTTTTATCATAAAAAATGAAATTTTGATCGGGGATACCCGTTGTATAGAATTTTATTTTGGTGTAAAAAACGATAATAATTCCTGACTTTATTGTTTTTCTGGTTTTTTATTGAGTTTGTTATGCTGATTTTTTTGTAAATTTTTTATATCAAGCTGGGAATCTTTGCAAATTGAGATTTTTTTGGCGGATGTAAAAATTTTTTTTAATTTTTGGCCTGTAAGATATGTGTCTTGAGAGGCAAAAAAATTCAAAAATTATGATCTCGCTGCCCTGTAAGCTCTGTAGGTCAAACCTCTTCTATCACAAATAAAATTTTGTAGTCCTTGTGTCTCATCACGCAGTAATTTGGTTCCTTTCTGATTATTAATTTTTTAAAGTCCAAGAATTAATCATTTTTTTTGTTTTTCAATTTTAACCAAGCCATAATCTTCAAAAATTTTATCAACTCAACTATCGACCCGATTGACTGTAATGAAGTAATGCCGGTAGTAAAATGAATTTTGTTTATTTGTTTCCCCATATGTTCAGACCAAAACAGGCCATTGATTGCCTTGATTAGGGACAACTTCCTCTATATTTTTCGACTCGATTAATGCCTTTCATATTTACCGAGCTGTTTTTTATCGCTGTTTGTTGATTGTTTTTACCGCTCTTACAGCGGAGAGAGGTGTACTCAATAAACAAGGAATTTAAACAAACACATGGAGAGATTTTATCAGATTATTTTTTTCGATAGTTAAAATCACTAAAAAAAATTTTTTTTGAACTTTTGGGGATTAACGGAAAATCAGCATAAAAATTTTGAAAAAGATATCCAAAAGTGAGGAAAATCAATAATAAAAACGATGTTAAAATTATCGAAAACGCCAGCAAATTACAATAAAACTGCATACGATGCTTAGATTTTGTTTAATTTTGAGTGTCCTTCGCCATGAACGCATCAAAGTCCGGGCCGGGAAAGGACAACTGGGGAAAATCGAAAAACTGATGGCTTTTTGATTAAACAAAAAATTACAAATGATAGTGCATTCTTGCAAAAACGCTATTTACAGTCTTTTCAACCTTTCAGTTAGGGCGGGCGCACACTTGCGGGCAACCACTTTGCGGGCAACCAGTTTGCGGGCAAATCTTTTGCGGGCAGCCACTTTGCGGGCAGCCGACATTTGCGGCCAGCACCGGCATTTGCGGGCAGCCTGGGACATTTGCGGGCAGGGTCGACAGTTGCGGGCAGCCTGGAAGATTTGCGGGCAGCCGACATTTGCGGGCAACCGACACCTGATTGTGAGGGTAACAGGGTGGAGGTGGAAAAATTACTATGATATTATATTTTGGAAATTTGCCGACATTTGCGGGAAACCGGCACTTGAGGATAACAAGGTGGAGGTGGAAAAATTACTTCGATATTTTGGAAATTTTCCGACATTTGCGGGCAGGCTATACTTACGGGAAACCGACATTTGCGGGCAACAGTTCCAAAAGTACCAATACAGTCTGTGTGATTGTTTTTTCCTGTTGCCCGCAAATGTCGGCTGCCCGCAAATGTCGGCAAATTTCCAAAATATCGCAGTAATATTTCCACCTCCACCCTGTAACCCTCAGGTGCCGGTTGCCCGCAAATGTGACCCCCCAAATTTTGCCCGCAAAGTGGTTGCCCGCAAAAAATTTGCCCGCAAACTGGTTGCCCGCAAAGTGGTTGCCCGCAAGTGTCGCGACGCCTCCAGTTAGATCAGCCAGCTTATGAAAATCATTTTAATCTTGGCCGAAACACTGCCATTTGGAATGTTTTTTGTTGGCAAAAAATAAAACGTGTTCTTGAGGTCGGGTGGACCAACCGACGGCTTGATGAAAGAGACTGTCATAGCGTTTTTTTAAGGACGGCAAACTGTGCGTTTGGCTAGCGAATAGAGTGACAAAAACATTTTTTACAGGGTCTCTCAAGAAACGTGAAGGAAAGTCGGAGGCCATAACTTCCTTAATGTCGCTTAAAAAAATATTTCAAAAATGAAGACTCTGCGCCACCTCCGCCGGAAGTTATAGCCTCCGACTTTCCTTCACGTTTCTTGAAAGACCCTGTATTTTTCAGTTCTCTTTTCCCCTAAAGTCCAGATTTGTGTGTTCTCGGCTAAAAAACGGATGAAATATGAGGAAAATCTGAGCACACAATGCAAATCTTTCAACTTATTTACACACAGCTTTTTGAACGGGTTTTACCCCCTAATGTCTGGGCGCCGCCAACATCTACAAATTTTAGCCCGGAATTTGGAAGTTTTGTCGAAAGAAACAACAACTTTTAGGGCTTGCCAAACAAAGCAAGTCTTCCGGCCAAATCCCTTTAAAGCTCGATAAAAAAATGATTTTGTAATTTTTCTTTGGCTCGTTTCCAGTTTTCCAACATGCCCGAGCTGGTGAAAGTACAAGTTTAGAACAAAAGATGGTTTGATAAGAGCTCGGAGTATCTCTTTTCTTGTTTTGAATTTCTGAATTTCATTGTAATGCTCGTTTTGTTTTTCTGATAAACTGCTAACGTTTCAAATTTTGAGAAATTTGATTGCGCTATTATTAGGGGAAAAAATCTCAACTCTTTAGGAGAAATTGTGAGTGAAAAAATCAGCAAGATGCTCAAGCTATGGTTAAAAAACGCAAATCAAGCCAAAATTTGGTGTTGAAAGCTATCGCCGAACCAAAAATAAGATTTTTTATGCAAACCATGAAGCTTTACCAGTAAAAGCTATTTTCATTGTACAGAGGTTTAACTGTATCATCATGGAGGACCGCTATTGGGCCGAGAAACAACGCAAAAGAACACCAACTTTGTTTCGTCAAATAATTTTTATTTTTGTCTCTGTGATACTTTTTGATACCAAATTTACTCTAACCTTGACATCTTTTCAATCTAAATACTTATCGAGTAGTACCAAGTCGGGAAAAATGTACTAGAGCCATGCCTAACCACCGAATATACCCACAAAGACAGTAGGTACCGGGTGTAAAAGTAAAAGATCTTCCACTACATGCTAAAGTTACAATACACATCAAAAATTGATTTTAAACCCAAATTTTTTTCGACTCTATCCAAAACTCTTCCATCGAATCTTTGTACTGCCTAAAACTTCCTCTAGATATTTTCCCCAAAATTCTCGCTCTGCTTTATCATCAATCTGGTCGGTAATCTTTTGCCAAAAATCCCCCATGCTCGATTTCCGCGATCCGTAAACAATTCGTCACAGTAATCACCCTTTCCCACGTGGAGTCCCTTCAAGCCTTGCTCCAATCAATTGGAGATTCTATTTTCGATAAGCTTGTTTTCCCCCGATACGTATTTGCACTTGGGGCATCATGGGTTGGGGGAAACTAAAACATTGTATTTTTACATTTCATTGACAGCTAATTTTTGGGGCGGAGCCTTTGTTTGGTCCCTTGGGGGTTTTTTCAATGTTCGGGGAAGTCCTCAGAGTTCCCCTGGGATCGTTGTGGTTAGGATAACAAATTTTAAGGGTAATTTTTTGCCGTTCGTAGCCCTGATTGGCATTTTGGTAGTGATAAAAATTTGGAGACTCTTTTTCCCAAATTTTGGTCGATTTCTTATATTGCCCCCGTTTTTTCGTCCGCTTTTCCCAGAGCAAGACACACTAGAAAAGACCGAAGTTTAGACGCACTCTATACGGAATGGACAGGGCGATAAATCTGATAAGAGCAAAAACAAACGTGTTCGCAAAAAAAATTGAAGAGAGAGAAGAACGTAAACAAAGATAAGCAGTTATGGACCTTCAAAATTAATTGTAATCTACAATCGAAAATGTAGAGAGAAAAATGATAGATAATCCAATAAATTGGCTGACTGAAGAATAATTCGCAAAGAAAAAATCATTTAGCAATTGAAGAAACATTGTCTTTTGCCAAATATGGGTGTTCTAAAGGCCCGAAGTTTCGATTTTTTCCTCAAATTACAGAGAAGAACTTTTTATTCGCTACATAACAACATTTAAAAATTTTAGCTAAACGCGCCACAGAGCTATTCGGCAAACCTTACAAAGGTTATGAAACATGAGGAGATGCGGCCAGAGAAAAGAATGTCATTAACACCCACTTTGAGACTTTGTGTGGCAGATATGTATGTATACACTTCAAGTGTCTAATTTTTAACATTTCTGACCCAAAATTGCAACGAAATCCTGCATACCGCGCAAACTTCTTATAACGTGTTTAAAATTTGTATCTTGTTTTGTGCCAACAAGGGAAGTACCCTGGACGTGATGCGTAGAATATCTTAAATTTTGCATAAACCTCCGACAAGGCTACAGGTTCTCGCATAGGTCTTAAAAATCCTAAATTTTTGTCAAATTTCGTCATATTCTAAGCGTCACATTTGGAGTAGTTCGCCGCAAGTTTCATCAAAATTTTCATTGTACAACTCATATTTATTTTAATTTTTCTTTCTTTTAGTTATTAGATTAAAATCTATTATTAGAATCAAGCAGTTTGACAGCCAACAAAGTCCCTGAATATCCGATTATTTGTTATTCAGAGACTTCCCTTCGAATTTCAGCCAAAAATAAGGAACAGCTGAGAGAGGGAGCGCACTATTGTTTATTGCTGACTCCAAACAGTAATAATGTAAATAGAGGAAATGTCAGCGATAATCGGTTTGAACTTTCATTGAAAACAGTCGAACGAGATGAACAGATAATAATTTTGGGGCTGAAAAAATAAAATTGTCAAGACTTTCTTTGAAAACAAAGTAATTTGGGCATATCCGAAAATAAAGTTCTTCAATTTTTGAGAAAATTTGAGATTTTATTTTTTAGGATATATGAGAATTTGCTGAGTCGCATTATCCGGAAATTTCAAAGTTTTGGTATGAAAAATTGAATAAATGGATATTTCGATTTTCTACAATATTTTTACAATCATCAAATCGCATTGTGCAGGAAACAGCAGAGACTTTGGCAAAAATTTTCAAATTTTCTAGCGGCTTATTTTGACATGTCATACAGCTTTTACTCCCTCTATTTGCTGAGGAAAATCTTGCAAAAAAATCGCATTTTTCTTCGAAACTCGTGTTCCCCATTTGGAAACGCCCATTTCATTAAAAACTGAGTGCACTTTGGGTGTACCCTTAATTTTCTGCACAAATTTCTCAAACAAATCGAAATGGTCTTCCTTGAGCCCCAAAAATTTTATCTCTTCATAATTTTTTTTTGATGCCTTCAAATTTCCACGCCACGTTTGTTTACTGCACAATCGACCTTTCCAAAAGCCATTTCAAATAAATATGTTGTAAAGTAAAAGTTCAAGTTTTTCCTTTCATCAAAACAAGCTCCATCATTTTGTTTATAAACTTTTTTTTGGATCAAACCTCGGCTCCCCTCTAACCTTGAAGTCATACGCATCTTTTTCTCTGATTTTTTTTTGCAATTTTTTCTGCAGCGACACGTTTGAAGTGGTCATTGGGAACGGCCGAAGCACGTGGCGAACACCCAATGATAACAAAAATTCCGTAAAAAATGGATCCTTATCACACGAAAACAATTTACAGCAGCCCCTTCAAGTACGTATCCGCATGTTTCGCTGCCATCGAAACGCTTGTTTTGAAGATGATAACGAAAAACATTAGCCGGGAAAATAAAAATATCCAAAAAATGAGAAAAAGAAGAGCCTTCCAGAAGAATCCACAACTACAGAACGCCGCAAGGGAAAGAACACAGTATAAATACTCGTTTCAACGCCGCGGCTGACTATTTTGTTGACATGGACTTTGACAGCGAATTTTTCGGTCAAAAACTATTGCGTGACCAAGGCATGGCTAAGAGCCGGGCCTACCAGCCCTTTTGGGGGCCTAGGCAGGACATAATGGTTGTCGGGATATCGTGACAAGGGCCTGGCTTGCCTAGCCGACAACTTTGTCGGGCCTGATGAAGCTACCTGCTTCACCTACGAGCCTTTTTTCGGCTCTTTGTCAAGCTACAGTAATCACAAGCTTCCATGGCACTAACTGCAGTTTGATGACTTGGAATTATTTCCAAAGCCGACTATTTTGGCGTTGTGGCCAAAATAGTGAACTACCAAACAACTTCACTTATGGATTCAATAGATAACTTCTACCTCCAAAAAGTTCATTCCTCTCGTACTTTATTCAAATTTCTCGCCTTTTCCGCCGAAACTCACATTTCACTTCTCATTTCCCTTTGTCACACTCTTCCTATTGGCCGTTGTGAAAGGCTTGTGGTCTGCATTGGATCGCTGTTTGACTGGCCAATCCATTCGCCATCGAGCAATGCCTCCGAAGAAAAAGAAGACTTTGCAACAGAAGAACACCAAAAACTCGGAAAATTTGGAATCGACGGAGAGTCTGAATCCTAGTGCGATCTCGCAGAAGTCCATCTTCCAGGAATGCGCCAAGGAGCCGTGGTTCTTTGGATACCTTCCGGGAGAAATATTAATGGTAAGCAAAACGGGGTTTTTTGCAATTCTTGGCGAAAAACGCCGCTGTGGGCAAAAAACTCAACTTTTTCAAAACTGGGGCTAGCTAAATTTTAATTTTCAGCAATATCTCCACAATACCGGCGACTTTGCTCTATGTTATATGGATCAGTTGGAGTTGATTGTCAAAGGAGAGACCACGAAACACATGGTAGCTGCTATCATCGAGAACAATGAGGTCAGACTCCCGCATATAGCAAAGGTATGTGTATCCAAAAAGTGTCATTTTTGGTCCTCTCAACAGCGAGATTACCTTTTCGCTTGCCATAAAAATCAATAATGTGTCGTGTTTTCAGTCATTTCAAAGTGTTCCCAAGATGGTTGAAGAGATGAAACGTCGCCGTTTCAAACTGGAAAAGAACGGCGAACGACTGAAATTGGGACGACCGATTGAAACTCCAGCTTGGGTTTTGAGCAAGGATTTTGTCCGCACTGTCAAATGCATTGACAGTGAAACTGGTAAGCGGGCTACGGAATATTACGTTTTAACTTAAAATAATTCTTGCGTTTTCGTAGAGCGCGAGCCGCGGGATTTGTGATGGCAATCTTTCCCTTCCTTAAAACTTGGGCTGTCATTATTTGCTAATATGACTTGTAATTCAGGTTTCCACAAGCTGTACATAGGCAAAATGTTTGGTAAAATCGGAGTTTTGGTGAAAATGACGGCCGAAGATATGTCCAAGAACAGTATTGAGAAGACAAATCGAGCCTTGCTGAACGAATGTCGAAGATTGATAAGCCTAAGACATCCGAATATCGTCTTAGTAAGTCAGCACTCTCCACTTCAAATTTTGGGATTCTAACTCGACAAATTGAAATTTTTACAGTATGTTGAAGTGGATAAAATTGCAATTTGCCCTCCTTGACGACTCTTAAAACTTCAAAAATTCATTTTTTTCATTTTATAGGTCTACGGAATTGTCTGTGTTGACCTTCCAATTCAATTGATTTGTGAGATTTGCAACGGAAAGTCGCTGAAGCAATTTTTAATTCATCATGGATCAACCTGCTGCAATACCGAACGTCTCAAATTTGCTCAACAAGTGGCCTGTGCTGTTCAATATGTCCACAACGCGTAAGTTTATCCATAAAAAGCAGGGTTAATTTGACGAACGGCATGACAATACCGTTCGAAAAAGCCAGGGCGCAGCTCGCAGAATGAAACAATTGTGACTAATAGCCTAAATTTTTCAGAAACGTTGTGCATCGTCAAGTGGTCGCCGACACATGCCTAATCAGCAATTATGGCCAAATAAAATTGTCTGGATTTGGCCTAGCAGCCACTCCAGAAGAGCTCAACGGAACCCGAATCGATATTCTAACTCAACAAAACATCCCATTGAGAGCCATGCCACCCGAAGCTTTGACTCATAAACCCCTTTTTACACTCAGTTGCGATGTCTGGTGGGCATTTTCACATTTCCAGCCTTTGAATTTCATTAATTTCTATTGCACTTAACATGCAGGTCATTCGGAGTCTTTTTGTACGAGATTTTCTCGAATGGTGAAGGTCCATGGCCAAAATTGGAACCGAAGAGGATTGCCACTGCGATCAGAAAGGCGCAGATGCCAGGTTATCCGCCAAAAATGCCTCTAGAGGTCAAGGAATTTGTTGCTACAAAATGCTGGATAAGGAATCCACAAAGCCGAGCCAAAATGAGCGAAATCAAGCTCTTTTTGGATGAGCTGTTGATGAAGAGTTCGGATTCGAATCCAACTGAAAGCAAAATTGTAAGCGTTTTCTGCTTCGAGAAGCAATTTTCAAGGATTTTGGGCCTCGCCATGAACATTTGTTATCGTGGCATTGTGTTTTAGACGCTTATAGTTCAATTTCACACGTTCAAATTTGATTTTCAGAGTTCGCTAAACGTTCTCGATGGTGTTGAGCCTCTGTCCCAACGAAAAATAGAGCAAAGGTTTGAGGAGTCAATCCATAAATTCAATGATCTCCGTCAAACCGCCGTTTGGCCAGGCAGGGAGAATACAGCCGAGATTTTGATCGAAATAAACTCGGCATCGCTGAAGAAGAGGGGAGATAGAAATAAGGACATAGCGAAAATGCTTGCCAAATCCAATTCTATTAGATCCAAAACTCAAGCGATGACTGCTAGGACTACGACAACAACACCACAGAGAGAGGTAAGCTACAATTTAATAGTCTATGCTAGACGAAAAGTTTGTACAAGAGTTTTACTTTACAGTGGGGGACCTGATCCAACGGCAAAAAACGCACCATTTTGCATCCAGGAAGTATCAAAAATGTGGCAAAATACCTCCCTCTTCAAGTGAAAAAGCTCAGATTTCAAAAGCGCGCCCGCTCTTTTTGTGAGGGAAAGGCACTACCACCTAATTCACCCTTCAAAACGAAGTTTTTTCTTTTGAAGAGGGAAGCATTTTGCCACATTTTTGACACTTCCTGGATGCAAAATGGTACGTTTTTTGCCACTGGATCAGGTCCTCCACTGTAATATTCTAAATTTGCACAATTCAATTTCCAGAAGACCGATATCATAAACGAAGACGGGCAGACGAAATCAGATGCCCATAGTTCCAAAACCAAACGCAAGGGTGCGAAAAAACCGGCAAGCAAGAGAGCCAAGAGCCTTTTCAAAAATCCTGCTCCCAGCGAGGCACAGACTCCAGCGAAGAAGCTGCCCAGACCGGCACATGCCCACGATGACATTGACGACGATTTCAGTGGAAGTTTGAAGGAAGATTAGACTTGGAACTGGATTGCAATAAATTATTTTGTATTTTTTAATACAGTGGGGGACCTGATCCAGTGGCAGAAAATGTACCACTTTGGGTCCGGGAAGTATCAAAAATGTTGCAAAATGCTTCCTTCTCCAAGTGAAAAAACCCCGATTTGAAAAGCGCGCCTGCAATTTTTGTGAGGGAAAGGGCGCGCCCTCCAGAACTATTAGGTTGGGACGAAAGTTTTCCCCTTTTTCTTGTTTTTTTCCAAACAAATTTATTTTGACAGTTGTAACGGGAAACCAAACATAACATCCACCGTCGGTATCCACTACGTATTGCCAACGTTCCGACAAGGATTCAATTGGCGAGCTTAAAAACTGGGGTATTTATAATAAAAAATGTCAGAAAGACCTGTTTTGAGGTCCCCCAAACAATCGAACCGCACATCTCCCAAACGGTAGCTTAGCGATCTGATCAAATGGTAATCAGAAGGTGCCAAGGCTGGGGTGTAGTGTGGGTAGGGCAGCAAAGTCCATGCATTCTCCCTGAATTTTTTGCGCGCGATTTCTGCAATGTGGTAGCAGGCGTTGTCGTGAAGGAGGAACATTTGTTCCACTTTTATCTAGCATTTTCGGCGGCGCGGTCCAACTGGCGATAATAATGTTATTTAGTGACAGTTTTACCATCAGGGAGCCATTCCTAATATTAGGTTGGACGGAAAGTCTTTGCCTTTTTTTCTGCTGCTATTTTTCCTTGCACTGATGGAAAAAGGCAAACATTAATATATGGTGTTGGTAGGGGACAGGCATCCCTATCTGACAGTACAACCCTCAGCCATCTTAAGCATGTACAAGCAGAGAACTTAATTTAGACATTTACCCATCTTTGGTCTACAAGTAGAAATCATTGGCCGGTTTGTTTAACAAGACCTTATAGAAAACTGTTTTAGCACTGTTAAAAAGACTTCTTTTGAAGCTCTTAACATGTGCTAACGTGGTGGGGATTAAATCAAACCCGAACCAGAAAACGTGATTTTTATGAGACCCAGCAAGTTTGAATATAATTGCAACCGCCGCTTAGCCGATGCCTTTGTATGGGTTTAACTATGGTATGCCAAAACTAACGACACTCCCTTACACTCAGATACCAGTCATTAGACAATTGTTTTACTGTGTGACGTGACAGAACTCAATTAATTGTTTCTCAAAAAGTCGCTGGTGAACTATTGGATCAACTCGTAAAATTGAGAAACCGCTCCTACCAGCTTTCCAATCCTCCCTTTCTAGGGTGGAAAATAGAGCCCCTGTACCGTTCTACTTCTTTATGAAACAATGGGTAACCATTATTAATTGTCAGCAAATCACACGCATTTCTCTAGAGCTATATATTTTTGGCAATTTTGCCCCTTTACGGTTAGTCCGAAGTGTGTGTGATCCGAGTTACTCATGTAGCACGTAAAGGGCTACCCGTGTGCCTCACGGAACCCTATTATATAGACAGACGATCAGCAATGCGCGGAGTAATAAGAAAACTTTTTTAATCGGGGCCTTTGCTGAGGATTTGGTTAAAAGAGTAGCTATTATTTTTTCCGATAGTTTTTTTTAAGAATTGCAATTGTGTTTAGCATAGTCGGAAAGACCACTGGACACAGCCCACAAAATTTCAGAGCTTCATCAAAAGCGATTTGGAAACTAGAGCTTACGTTCAGGACCCCACCCGAAATTGCCGCAAAGCGGAAAACCTCTTATAATTAAGCTCGTTTTGGCGGAACAAACGATTGGCACATAGCAAATAAATCTGCACACTGTACCCTTGTATATACTAGGTATCTACGGTTGACACTCGGTCTTGGCGCGAAAAAAATAAATTTCAAAATTGGATAAAAAAAGGCAAAGACTTTCCGTCCAACCTAATAAATACCTCCCATACAAGTCCACCAATCGCAGAACATGACCTTTTTTGGGTGAATTTTGGTTTTGGGGTTGGTTCACCGTGATGGTCGGGTTCAAGCTACTGAAGCTTGCGGGTATGGTTTATATACATCACCCATTTCTGGTTCCCTGTAATGATATTGGTCAGCCAAGTCAGCGTGCGGCGGTAGGACAAAAATTAGGAGCAACAGTATAAGCCGTGACTCCGAAAGTTCGTGCGGAACAAATTAACCACACTTCCACACTTTTCCCAACCGATGTAGATTGTCCATAATGGTAGTATGGGAGAACCCAAAGAGCTCTCCAAGTTCACGTAATGGCAATTTGGGATAGCTCACGATTAAGCCTTTTTGGGCATCATCATCTATCTCAGATGGCCGCCAGAACTTGGTCGTCTAACTCCTTTTTTTGGACCTCTGGAACCAATACTTGGCCACACCATAAAAGAGGACGTCCTTGCCTATAACATCCTAGACTTCGGTTATATCTTCCATGGGTTTTGGTATTCTGCGATAGTTTTAAAATTTGACGCATCGAAACAGCAACTTTGGGACGGAAATTTTTCCACGTTTGGAGAGCGCTATGGGGACAAGTTACATATCAGTCTATATGCTATCAAGTCACCCTTACATAGTCACATGACAGAACTTTCCAGGAAGTTCCACAACTTCCATAACTTTTCCCGAAAATTAAGGGGAAAACTTTCGTCCCAACCTAATAGTTTTTTTAACTTGGAGAGGGAAGTATTTTGCCACATTTTTTATACTTCCCGGATCCAAAATGGTACGTTTTTTGCCAATGGATCAGGTCCCCCACTGTAATCGGAGTTAATACAACGTTTCTTTCAATTGTGAATTACGTGATACTACAATATCACCATTTCAAAAAACAGATCTGAAGTCAGCACACAGGGTTATTTGAACCAAAATAACTTTTTCTCCCAGATACTGCTATTCCGAGAGAAAAGTTGATCAAAATTCTGACCTAAAAATCGGAAGACTTCTGCCGAACTTCTTTGTTATTCATCATCTCCTTTTCATTTACTCATAAACATCACGAGTGTAAGAAAGAAGAGACTTGAATAGAAAGTAAGGCAAATGTAATAAAGTGGAAATTTCAACGAAAGAACGTTTCCGATTATGTAACGAGAAAAAAAAGTGTAATTCTCCATAGTTCCGCCACAATAAATTAGTCAAAGTACTGGGAAACGATCGTATTTTCTGCTGGAGAGTAAATTTAGGTTCTGTTAAACTTATTGTCGTGTTTTGGCAGTTGTATTTTGTGTTTCAATTGTCGTATACCGGTGACTTTGATAAGGCAGCTCATTATATTTTTCCGGCCATAGAAAAAGGGGCGCGGGCGGAATTGAAAAGCATTCCGGGTTATTACGAAAAAAAACCTATAAGTCGTAATTACAGTGACCTATCCAGTGGCAAAAAACGCACCATTTTGCATCCGCGAAGCATCAAAAACGTGGCAAAATGCTTCCCTCTCCAAGTGAAAAAAAACTTCGTTTTGAAGGGCTCTTTCCCTCACAAAAGGGCGCGCTTTTGAAATCGGAGTTTTTTCACTTGTAGAGGGAAGCATTTTGCCAGATTTTTTATGCTTCCCGGATGCAAAATGGTACGTTTATTGCCACTGAATCAGGTCGCCCACTGTACACTAACTATAACACGACTAATCAAGTCTTGACAGAAAACCAATGCCTTTGAAAGTCCTCCGTTTATACATATTTTACCCGAATAATTTATCTATTACACCGTTAAAAGAATACTTCATTCACCATTTTCTACAGTAACCGTCTGCTTTTCCCTTCTTAATTTAGATTTCTCTTTGTTTTTAAACATGTTTTGACTAAAACGTGTTAAAACACATTTCAGTAAACTAAAATCTTTTTCTAAGTACCTTCTAATTGCTTTATTTACCAGTTAATATTTACCATGCCGCAATGTTGGAATTTAGCCTTGAACAATTGAATTCATTTTAAGCCCCAATCAACAGAGAGGAGGTCCATCGATCGAAGTCGATGGAAGAGAAAAAACAAAATTGGCGGACCCTTGGGGAGGGACCAAAGAAAAACTTCTTCTAACTGGATTTGCGCACGTATTTTCGCTGACTCATTCGTTATATATTTATCAGCGACGCTTTGTTAACAAGTCATAACAGCGTTCGACACCTGCCTTTATATTCTACGTGCTACCAGTAACTTCGAATTCAGGCTCCTTGACTCTTACCTACTGAAAAATGCGCTTCCAAAATATTTTTACAGTCCTATTTTTGATGCTTATTTTAATTATGGCAACTGCAATGCCATATCATCCAGATCAGGATGACGACGACTACAAAAGCTGGATGGGACTGATCACCGAGAGATTGACCGATTTAAAATGGGGAGCAAAAAGATATACGGAGTAAGCACCCAAATTTTTGGATTACAATATCACCACTTTGTATGTATATATTGAAATTTTACATTTTTCGATCTCATACATCTTGTAAATAAATATCAGCATTGCAATGCCTAGCCGAAAATTTTCTTTGATTCTGTGTAAAGCTGAATACTTTATTTGACTAACAACAAAAAAATTTTCAAATTAGCTCAAACTCAAGTTTTCCATCAACCCCTTGATGGAAACTCTTTCAACAACCAGGGTTTTCAACAACGAACTCAAAAGTCAAAGTCGAGTTTTCGGACTGCGCAGAATTCAGCGACAGTTGCGTCGGTGATCTGCTTTCGGCGTTCTTGGAATGGCGCTATCACATCGATCACAACTTGAGCTGCTTTCACTTTCAGCTCACCAGTCAGCAACTCGCCGCTCGTGTAATCCTGGAAATTTCATTTTTTGAATTCCCGCAATTTTTGGCATTCTGTTTCAAGAGCCGGAAGCCCTCGAGCAATCAACAGGTGCCGTAAATGGCAAATGATAAAAAAATAATTAAAAATAGAAATTTTAATCCACCAACCTTTCGGATTTTTTCCAATTCCTCATCACTTTCCAAAAAGTACTTCAAGAACTGGAATGAGGTGTCTACATCGCAATTTCCACCGTATTTTCGATGATCTTCGATGGTATCTCGTCCGCCACTGAATGCATACTTCTTGATCTGCAATAAATAACAATTAACCTTGACCAAGCCCGCAAAAATAAAAAATATATATTATCCATAAAAAAGTTTACCTTATTTGTGATTTGTTTTGGAGTATCACTCAAATAGATGCATGAATTCGTGTCTGATGCCGCCATTTTGGTGTGAGCTCCTTGAAGAGCCGGTAAGAAGGACGAATAAATCATGGCGGGCTTGGGGAACTTTAATCTTGGGGCAACATCCCGGCACATTCGGAAGTATGGGTCCTAAAATATAGCACATCAATATTTTGATAACAAAACAAAGCTTTGAAAAACTATTTCTCAATTAATTTTTATAAGAAAAAATATATTAAATTTTCATTTACCTGATCAATAGCGCATGGGATCAATGCCGGAATGTCCTTTTTCTTATTGAAGACATGTGGAAATGATGAGGAGAAACAAGGAGCTGCCTCGATGGCTGGGAATGCCGACTTTCCCATCGAGTCTTCTCCAGAAAATCCAAAAATGGCTCGGCTTTGATTGTTTGTCACGGTTTTCCATATTTTCAAGATGTTTTCGTAAAATGCGGGGCTGAAACAATATTTTAGGTAAAAAATTATAAAAATTAACATTTTTTCAACTACGGCAATACCCCATCACATCTAAAATAAGTGTAAAATTCTCATACCACATATATTCCGTATCCATGAAGATAAACGTCTTTTTGGGATCAAATCCAACCGAAATGATATCTTTTATATTATCCTTGGCGCACTTCCTGGCTTGATCCAAAGTCATGTCTTTCCACAAGAACTTTTCGTCTTCTGTGATCTAGAACAAAGAATGGAAGTGGCAAACTGACTAAAACAAAAAAAAGGAAAAAAACGTATTTTACCTACCTGAATGACCAATGGAACATTAAAGGCTTCTTGAAGATATTTAGTGAAGATAAATGGAATTAAATGTCCCAAATGCAAAGATCCCGAGCTTGGCCCTCTACCCGTGTACAAATAAAATGGCTTTCCTTTCTCGACTCGGTCCAAAATCAGAGACAAATCTCTAAAAATATAATGTTTTAGAGAAAAATTGATGGAAGTCGAAGAAAAAACCTCATGGAGAATAAAAAAAAACATGAATTTTACCTCTGGGCAAAAAATAGACCACGGCGAAGCATAACATGGGCCGGCTTACCAGTAATCTTCTCAATTCTATCTAGTAAATCTTGTCCAAGAGGCCGACATCCAAATTTTTCTGAAAACAAGGCCATATTAAACTTTAGAGCATAGAAAATTTTTTTAGGTAGGCATATTAAACACCAAAAATTGTGGTTTCCCTGTTCCGCCAAAAGCTTGATCAGCAAAACATTACGTTACCTAAAAACCAAGGAACTAACCAAAAACAACATACCAATCAGTTTCATGTAGTCAATTCCCTTATCTGAAGTCGCCTGGACATCCCACGGGGTGACAACATCGCCATCATCGGCATTTCCATTTTTTTCGCCGGCTTCTTCAATGTTGACCTGCCCAACTTGTTCAGCAAGCTCATTTGTCGCCATTCCAAAAATAATAAAAAATCTAAGTAAAACAATAAAAATATCCTTCACGAAGGTCGCGGACGTTCTCAACGTAGTTTAGAGCTAAAGAAAGGAGAAGGAAATGTCAAGGTTAACAGGAAAACAGCAAATTTATGGGACAAATCCGACCATAACAAAAAAATGAGCAAAGATTGAATCCGAAAAGACTAGAGAAGTGAAAAAGCGTATAGGTCTCTCCAAAGACAGCAATACACCTTTATGAAACAGTAAACACCACTGAAACGTGCAATAAACGGACTTTAGCTCATCTAGATACCAAAAACGCAATTAGAACAACAAACCCATAGTTTCAAAAATTTCTCAACGAATGTCAAAACGAGTGACGTGTAGACTCTCGACTTTGCATCATATTCGCAACAAAATAGGGTTGAGATTTTCCGAAGAAAAAATATTTTTGTCATTTCGCTATCCGGACGAAATGCCAAAATTGATTTTTGTCTTCGTGGAGAATATTTTTCGGGATTTGTTTTTGAGACAAGACGTGTAACTTGTAGATAATTGAGAGCTGGTGTTATTCTGTAATTGTAAACGGAATATTTGCCGATAGTTTTGAAATTTATGTTCTTCTTGATAGTTATTTATAATTTTAACGAACTTTCGATGTAAATGGACGGAAAATTGAGATATTGGTGTGTAAATTAATTTTGACGTTCGCAAAAAAATTTGATTTGATTTATAGATTGTTTTTATAGTTTCAGACCTATGAAAAATCTTTTTTAAAAAGACAACTGCCTAGTACAATATAAATTTGTATTTTTTGCCGTTTAACGTGGTTTCGTTGTTTCTATAGTTCACTTTTGTTACAGCGCAGGCCTTGCTCTTGCTTCTGGTTAAAACTCCGCAAAAATGGAGCCCCCAAGCAATTCAGGATATGACAATTACGGATATGCCCCACCCCCACCACAGCCGGATCCTTATGGGCAGCCGCCTTTCCCACAGCAACAACAACCGCCCAATCCTTATGGCCAACCTCCGGCTTTTGGTCAATTTCCTGATCAGTTTTCGGCCGCATTCAATAATCCAATTGTTCAGAGTTACGCGGAGGGAGTAAGTGAAATCAGATGCTATGATTAACTTCATAGTTGATTTTAATTAATTTCTACATTTTTAGTACAAAAAGCAGATCTATGAGCAATATGTTGCTACTTCGGCTCAAACGCTCAAGTATTACTTTGCCGTAGACACGAATTATGTGGTCAAGAAGATCGGCTTGATTATGTGCCCATTTTTGCATAAAGTAAGTTGATTTTCTTTTATTTTCTTATTCTGTCTCTAGGATTGGAGCTCTCCACCAGGAGCAAATGGCGAACAACCACCTCCGAAGTATAATATCAACGCACCGGACCTTTACATACCTGTGATGAGCTTTTTGACCTACGTTTTGGTCGCTGGCTTCGTTTTTGGTACTCAAGATAGGTGAGATTTCGATTTTTTTTAGTCTCTGGGATTAAGTACGTTTAGTTTTACTAAATTTGAGGTCTGACGGCAAAACTAACCTTGTATTGTTGCAGATTTGAACCCGAGAAACTGGGGTTACTCACAACGAACGCTTTGTTTTACCTCATTCTCGAGAACCTGGCAATTTTTGTCACAAAATTTGTTTTGAACATCTCTCATACACTGAATGTGTGGCATTCGTTGAGCTACAGTTGTTACAAATACGTTTCGTAAGTTCTTTGAACGTTTTTTTATTGTAGAAGATATAAATGTTTGAGAAAACATGTTTTATTTTTAGCATGGTGTTTTGTCTGCTCTGCTTCTTAATCGGTGGCCGATCTCTGTACTACTGTGCATTGGCCTACTCGATTTTTGCGACAGTGTTCTTCTTGGTAAGTAATGAAATTTTTGTTATTTTTTGGAGTTTAGGTGAAGTTAAGTGATGTCTAATGGTAAAATTCGGATGTCATACTCTGTTTTGAGGAATCATTGCGCTGTGATAAATTTATTTTTATATTACACTTGATATTTTCTTTTTTTTAGTTACGATCGATGAAAATTTATATTTTGGACATGGCAAATCGAGGTGGAGATCAAAAGAAACGGAAACTTTACCTTCTACTCTCAATCACCCTCGTTCAAGGACTGATAATTTGGCTATTAACCAGCAGTGTCACCAGTTATATGCCCGGAAATTACAATATCGCAAAGATGGCGTTGGACAAAATTGGACTCAAGAAACATGAAGTCCCTATGACCCATGATGGCGAAGTAGACTATGAGGCACTACTGAAGATGGACTAACTGTAATTTTGAAGCCAACGTATAAATTAAAGTTATAAAAATTACCTAAAATGGTATGATTTAGTGTAAATCTTGGTCGTTTTTTCTCCGGGCTTAAGGTTCTTGCTCTTCAAAGGTTCTGAAGTTATTTAAAGAGTCATTTTGTTGCCTGTTCTGAATAGTTTTACAGTCTATGAATATTTTGTTAATTTATTATCCAATTTTTACTCGTTTTTGGAGATTTCTTAATGTGCCTTACCGTAGTATAAAGCCTAATCGAGGCTTTATATTGAGTCTGAATAACGTCAGTGATATTTTACTTAGTAATTTATATTGTTTTTTTTTTGAATAAATGGGGTGTAATTTTGACGTTTTATGTTGGGTTAATGTGGTCATGGTTAATGTCCGAAATATTATGGGGGCAAATAGGAGGAATTGCTTGACTTTTGAAGTAGAGATGCGTTAAAAGGTTTTTACAATTCAAGTAATATTAGTTTTGTCATTTATTCGAAATTTTAAAGTGGTCCTTGAAGCGAGCTGCGATTATTGAAACGAGCTACAGTGGGGGACCTGATCCAGTGGCAAAAAAACGTACCATTTTGCATCCGGGGAGTATCAAAAATATGGCAAAATGCCTCCCTCTCCAAGTGAAAAACTTCGTTTTGAAGGGCGCGCTTTTGAAATTGGAGTTTTCTCACTGGGAGAGGGAGGTATTTTGCCACATTTTTTGATGCTTCCTGGATGCAAAATGGTACGTTTTTTGCCACTGGATCAGGTCCCTCAGTGTAGATGAGATAGACAAAGCATACCTATAAATTTCTTATAGAGCTGTGCAGATGGCAGACGAAACATTGCTGGTATTGTATGGCACAGAAACGGGTACGGCGATGGATTTGGGAGAGATTTTTTGGCGAGAATGCAAAAAACGCGGGATTTCCGTCCGATTGATGGCCTTTGATGAATACAATTTGAATGTTGGTAACGGTTTTAGCTCCGTTTTGAAGTTGTGATAGGGTGATTTTTTGATCGAAAGTTTTGTTTTTGAAAAAAAAATTGAGTTACTGGCTAGTTCAATATTTTTTTGAATTTTATGATTTTGGATGGAGTATAAGACCTGAAACTTTCAGGAACTACCCTCTGAGCCTTTTTTTATATTTATTGTTTCTACCAGTGGCAACGGAGAACTTCCAACGAACATGCGAGAGAATTGGCGGCGCCTTCTGAACACCCGAATACCTCGAGATTGGCTAGACGAAACGGAATTTGTGGGCTTTGGACTGGGAGACTCATCCTATCAGAAGTTTAATTTTGCAGCAAAGAAATTGTATCGACGACTACTTCAACTCTCCGCGACTTCTTTGGCTGATTTGTATCTGGCTGATGATCAACATGAATTGGGTCCGTATGGCTTGTTCACTCAGTTTATGGAGAATTTGTGGGTGATTTTGGAAAGCAAGAAGGATATTTTCCCGGTGAGCAGGAGATCCGGGGGTGTGAAGTTTGGTTAGAGAAGGGTTTTTGACGATTTTTTTGTAAATAGGATGACTATTTGCTTAAAATAATATAGTTTGTAGATAAAATACCATTTTATATGCTTTAATCTTATGCTTTACGTTTTTATTGGTTATTTTAGGCTATTTCGGATTTATTTTTAATGCGATATTTATCAAAAAAAAATCTTATTTTACATTATTTTCAGAGTTTTCATTCAAATCCCGATCCAGAATTCCCATTCAAGTTCAAAATTGTACCTCCAGAGGCTGTTCACTCTCACAGCTCAGAGTTTGTCGAAGTCGAATGCCTTCAAAATGAACGAGTAACGTCGGAAGATCATTTTCAGGTAAGTTTTGTCATGGATAATATAATTTTGTAATACCGACCTTTGTAAAACAGCTTGTTTAGGAAACCCGGCTAATATCGTTCTCAAAACGCCCTGATAATGCCTCCAGACTTGCCTACGAACCAGGAGACGTGCTGATGGTACAGCCACAAAATCTTCCAGATAGCATCGAGGTTGCAAAAACGGCCCTAAACTTAACAGAAGACCTCCTCAACCGGGAATTTAGTATCCTCCCAACAGAGAGGACCATAAAGATGCCTCCGACATGGCTGGTCCCCCAACCTACCACCATTAAGACACTCTTAACGACCTATTTTGACCTGGAGATGATCCCAAAACAGTCATTCTTAAAAATTCTATCGGAATTCTCGAAAAATGAAATGGAAAAGGAGCGCCTGGAGGAATTTTATGACCCCAAGAATCTGGACGAATACCTGGATTACGCCCAAAGACCACGGAGGACCATCGCGGAAGCCCTCAGGGATTTTGTGGCTACCTCCAAGGAATTTTTTGAAGTTGAATTTGAAGAAGCGGCCCGCAGACTGTTTGAATTGTTTGTGCCGATAAGACCAAGAGCATTTAGTATTGCATCCAGCCCGCTAGCTCACAAGGACAAAATTCAGATCATTGTGGCCAAAGTAAGTGGATTTTTGATGTTATTCCTGAAGGATAATGTAATTTTTGGAAGAAAATTGTTGAAAATTGCCGATAATGGGGCTAATTTTAATGTATAGCTAGTTTCGGTGATTCTAGGAGGTTAATTTTCATGTTTACGGGAAGTTTTTTGAATTTCGGAACCATTTTTCCCCCTTTTCACACTGTTTTTCCCACCAAAAAAGCGCTCTTTCGGAACGAAAAATTCTCTTTCGAATTTCCGAGCGAGAGCAGCCGTGGGGGTATAGCTCAGTGGCAGAGCAATCGACTGCAGATCGATAGGTCCCTGGTTCAAATCCGGGTGCCCCCTAAAAGGCTTTTTGAACTTTTGAGGAAATATAAACATTGCTAATCGTTTTCTGAATGGTAAATGACGTTTTTTAAAGTTGTTTTTGACTGGATGATATGTTTTTTTTTGGAAAATGAAGGATTTTTAAGTATTATTTTTTAGGTTTCCTACAGGTCGATTGTTATGAAAGAGCATCGGAAAGGTCTTTGCAGCACATTTCTTGCCCAGTTGAAGAGCGGCGACAAGGTTTGTTGAGATTTGATGACATTTTTTTCGAAAAGTTTTGGAATTTTTAAGATTTGAAATCCGGATTAATTTTTAGGTCTATGTAAAAATCCGCAAGGGAACTTTCAAATTCCAACCGCTATACGATAACCTTCATCAAGGAGCGATCTGTGTTGGCCCGGGCACAGGAATCGCGCCATTCCGCTCGTTTTGCTCCGAGATTGACCTTAAACCCCAAAATTCGGAGAAAAAGTGCCTCGTATTTTTTGGCTGTCGTCATCCAAGGAAAGACTATTACTTCCAAGAGGATTGGAAGGCACTCGAAAGCACAGAAATCAGCACATCATTCTCTAGACCAGACAACGCAGAGGAGAAATCTTATGTGCAAGATAAAATAAGAGAGAATGGGGAAAAAGTGTGGAAAATGATTGACGAAAGAGATGGTAGGTGTGGGATGGAGTTTAGAAAAAATTTTTTTTGCGTTGGGAGTTGTTAGGGTATCCGTATTTTCGGAAATTTTAAATTTGAAAATTAAAAAAAAAATTTTTTATTTTTGATCTGAAAATTTTGAAATTTTTTTAAAAGATTCCCGGTATTTTCAAGCAAATTCAGGCTTCAAATATTGTTCATGACATGTTCAAGGTACTGTATATCAAAATCAGCCAATAAATTTATGGTTTTTCAGCCTCAATTTTCGTTGCGGGACGTGCAAAAGAGATGCCCGATGAAGTAATGAAAGCCTTCAAAGACGTGATACAGAAATTTGGACGCCTTGAAGACCCAGAGGAGTATATAAATCGAATGGAAAAACAAGCAAGGATTCAATATGAGACCTGGGATTAAAAAAATTTTTAATCTTTACAATTAGGATTTTTTGTGAGCATTTGATGTAAAATACGTTGTTGATGTATGATTCTCACTTACGTTGTGAAGAAAATATACTTTCGTGTGATTTTAAATTGAATTTAACAAGTTCCCGAGGTTTCACAACCGATTTTATCGCATTTTAACCTATATTTTTTATATATAGTTATCTCTTAGCCTTAACCTAGATTTTTTTGATGATTTCCCTGGATGAACCCATTGTTTCCGACACCTTAGCTGTTCTACAATGCTTCACGGCAGTCCTGCTATTATTTATGGCCATTGGAATCGTCGATTTGGGACTTTGGAACCGAATTTTATTTCGATTTTCGGCCCTACAACGCAAAATTAGTGCAAAAACTGAAGAGCTGAAACGAGAACAAGAGGCCTTGGCGAAAATCCCAATGATGAAGGAATTTGCGGCCTACGCCAAGAAGAAACGAATCGTCGATAAGCTGGAGGAAGAGCTGAAGGATCTTTGTAAGTTTTTGAAGGGATTTTGTTGTCATGGATAATATAATTCATCGGGAAAATTTGTTTTTTATGCGGGTTTTTGAGTTGTAAATGGTGTAAAAATTGATTCTGAAAAGCACGGCAGGTGGGTTTTCTTTTTGAGTTATATTTTTGCCGAAAATTCGAAATTTTTTGAATTTTGCACGGTGCGCTGATTTTATTTTGCACAGTGCGGAAAATTGGGTTTAGTGGGTACCAAAAAAATGTCAGAAATTGAATACTCGTAGTATTTTTCACTGAACGGATTTATTTTTGCAATTTTACGACCGACGGTTTTTGCACTGTGTTAAATTTTCAAAATCCGCACAGTGCGTTAAATTTAATTTTTTTTAACTTCTCAACAATTTTCAGTGAAGTCCCGCTCACAGAACAAAATGACCGGCGCCTTTGTATGGAATCTGGGCGGCAGATCAGTGTGTCTTTTTCTCGCAACTCACCTGGCGAAACAGTCAGCTGACCTGGTTATAGCAACCATTCCGGCTCAAGCCTTGACCCCTTTCAATGCACTTTTGGCATACCCCAACTCCACGCAGGAAGAAAGTAAGCAGTAATGGGCTTGGAACTGCAGTATAAAAATGCAATTGAGAAAAAAACTACAAGTGTTCCCTGCACGCCGAACCGAAATGGTTGATAGAAATGGAAAACTAGTTTTCGAGTCTTGGCACGAAAACAAAAGAATTTTTTAAATTATTTTTTGAGGTGGGCTTTTGGCACTTTTGGCATTTCGATTTTTGATGTATATATACGGTATCTTACACCGAGTCGACTAACTGTTGACGTAAACGTGATGCTGAGATAATTTGGAATCGTTTGATATAAATTTCGGTCCTATTATACAACGTAAATGGTAATTTGTTGTTTTAGTGGTGCACAATGTCGGAATGCGCATTCTTGAACTCCGAATACGGCTTTAGGGTGTTGCATAACAACATACTGGCATAATAATAACGTATAATTGTCCCTTCCTCCAATTATGGACAATTTCAACTAATATTACACTAGGCACCGAAAGAAAGCTAGTAAATATTGCTAATGATATTCTAATCCATCTAACACAACGTTACATAACCTATGAACGATGTTATGTCGCAATAGTTCCATGTCCCAACGTAAAATCAGTAAAATCGAAACGTTTTTATTAAATTGTTACCTAAATTAATATAAAAGTTTGGTGTAGGCAGAAGAGAAAAAATATATGAGCTGATTCCGTCGAGAATACTAAAATACGCTCAGAAAAGTCGCATCCAACCCAAATTGATGTATTATGGATTCCAAATGTGACAAATATTGTCAAAATAGATCAAATCCCTTAAAATTTTAGCTAAAAAAGAAGTTTTCAGAATGGAGAAAATAGATTGAGCAGCGAAAATTTGATGAGACGTGCAGAAAGGTCTCATAAACAAAATTGTCTATCCTTTTCCCCAAATTTGGACTAAAATCCCGTTTCCGAGTCGATTCTTCATCGGATGGTCGACACCTAAATTTCGAAAGAACGAAAAAAAACGTAAAAAACACTTACATATATCCAAGAGATCCCTTTCATCACCTAAAGCAACCTATTCTCCAACTTCTGAAGCCATCCCCGTATTTTTACGCCTTCTGCAAAAAGGATCACACTCGTTTCTGCAAATTTATTTTACATCTGTCTACAAAGTTTTCCCTGTTGCAGAATGCCAACCATTTCTATCAACCAAAAAAAGCCTATCTCGGTTCGGCGTGTCCCTGATTTTCAGGGATTTCGTCGCGGGACTAAAATTGAGAACTGCAAATCCATGTGTTTGGAGTTCGTGCCTTGAGGGGATTCAATGAAAATCCGAAAGTGAAACATTCTGGATTCACAGAGCGTGTCCATGGCAGACATGGCAGGGGGGCCGGGCCGGCCCGGCCCGGCCAGGCCCCCATTTTTTGCTCAAAACAGAATGCCAAAAAAATTGGCACCCCAATTTTTCGTTGAAAGAAATTTTTTTTTTGAAGGGGCCGGGCCCAAATTTTTTCAGGCCCCACGGCCCGGCCCGAAAACCAAACCCAGGCCCCACGGCCCGGCCCCCGAGACGTTGGGCCCGGCCCGGCCCTTTTCAAAATTTCCAAAGCCCGGCAAAAAAAAATATTGCCAAAATGGCGGGAAACAGTGTTTTTAATCGAGTTTGGGCGGATTTTTGTGTGTTATGGCTTTTGTATATACTCAAGATGCTATTCTTTAAATTTTGTATTTTTCATGGCAGGCTGAGGGTGTTTCATGCTGAAAGCTCTAATCTGAGATTTTTATGCAGAAAGTGGAATATCTCACCACGTTGGAACGTGAAAAATCAAAAAATAACACGAGGGTGCTGCTCAGGCACTTCTTCAACTATTCTAAGTATGGAACCGCCAAGATCCGTTCAAAGAAAAACTTTCCCTTTTATTTTGGCAATATTTTGGCATTGTGTTTTCGGCCAAATTTGACCCCTTAGGGCAAAAACTAACGTCATAACTTGGCTCGCAGTACTCGATTTAGTAGAAATACTTTTTAAAAGTCAAGAATCGGTCAATTTATGCTTGAGATATGGTTTCCAAAATGTGCCCAGTAGTTACTATAGGGTTGAAAACCCGATTTTGAAGGTTCAAAAGAGAAGTTTTGGCAAACTATAATCTCCAGTAACTTTGGTAGCGGTTGATGGATTTGGATGAAACTTGGCGGAATTATGTTTCACGACATGCAGATTCTCTGTGCAAATTTTAAAATCTTTCCGTCCACGATACTATGAATTACCGTAGTAAATGGATTACTGTAGAAAAATCAAAATTTTAATTTTTAGTGGAAAATGTCCAGCAGTCCTTGGGGAATGAGAATATGTGCGACTTAGAACTATTTCGGAAGCATGATATTAATTTTTTGACAATTTTCCGAGTTTTCCCCGATATTATCCATGATGATTTCGTCCGAGCTAGGAAGAATTGAGCGGCGTAAAAAGTGTTGACATGTTGGAAATGTAATGAGAATATCAGAAACACAAGAAGATTGACGATTTAAAAATAATAGTTATGTTTTTTAACATTTTTGAGATTTTCGATGATTTTTTGATTTTTTGGAAGGTGGAAAATTGAATCACAGGTAAGAAAGTCGTGGAAGTAAATTGAAAACATCAGACAGTCCATTTGATTGCCAAATCCATCTCCAGACTCCAGGAAAAACCGATGTAAAGCATTTGAGAGGGTAAATTATATTACCCATAACATCTGGATAAACATTCTCCAATTATTGATCATTATTGGTCATAAATTGATCCTATATCGAACCCACTGGCCGCTTGTATCAAGTAAGACGCCGAAAACTTCGTGGTAACATCATAAAACAAAAAAATAGCAATTAAAACGCAAAATTTAGAGTAATGAAAAAAGGGCCGGGCCGGGCCGGGCCTTAAGACCCCTCAGGGCCGGGCCGGGCCGAAGGTGCCTCGGGGCCGGGCCGGGCCGAAGGTGCCTCGGGGCCGGGCCGGGCCGAAGGTGCCTCGGGGCCGGGCCGGGCCGAAGGTGCCTCGGGGCCGGGCCGGGCTTTGAAAATTTTGAAAAGGGCCGGGCCGGGCCCAACTTCTAGGGGGCCGGGCCGGGGGCCCGAAGGGTCCCCGGCCCGGCCCGTTTTGCCATGTCTGGTCCATGGGTTCAGGTAAAAAAAACAAAAGAAAATCAACTCAATTATGGGTCCCACCACGAAAATCCTGAAAATCAGGGGAAAACTTTGAAAGTACAAAAAGATAAGAACTAATGTAATAAAAACACTTTTTAGCCACTCCTGTGTCCTTATTCGCATTCTTAATCCATTTGACAATGGTCTCCAAGATTTTCCATCAAAGAATTTTGGCTCCCAAAAATAACATCAAAATCTCTGATAAGTAATATTCAACTGGTACGGATGGTGTATTTTTTGTTGGTTTTGTTGAAAAATGAATTATTTTACTTTACCGCTCGAGGAGAATTGAATAATAAACTATTATTATTGCTTGGAAAATAGAATTTTTATTCCACTTTGACTTTCCGCTATTAGAGTTGCAACTCTCGCGAGGGAAGTCGTGCAAATCGCAAATGAATTAAACTATGAGACCGATTTATATTCTGAATCTTCATAGTCGAAAACGGTGAGAGATGAAACAATTTTGGTGTCATGGCTTTCGAGAAAATCGACTATAAAGTTTGACCGAAAGCTCCGAAAGACTCTGGGAACAATGGCCGTCAGACTTTTTGATCGATATTTTGGAAAACCTGGACATCAAAATTGCTCTACCTCTTACCGTTTTCGACTATTGAGATTCAGAATATACCGGTCTCATTTCTCATCTCATTTGCGATTTGAACGATCGTGAGCTTTCGATTAACAGGGGAAGTACTCCAAGTGCGACGCTCAGATTTTCTTAATATTTTGCACACACGTCGGGTATGGACTAAATATCAATTCATGAAAGTTTTAGCTTGCGCTTTGCGGGCGCCGCCGAGATATCGAACGATTTTTGCCACCGAGAGAGCACGCTAAACGTGGAGAGCGTTCAGAGAGAAAAGCGTTTTTTGGCCATAACTTCGGCAGTGTCGTGCGGAAAAATTTGATTTTTTGTAGAAACATTATTCTTTACGGTTGAAATAGGCATGAAACTTTTTGCGCCGAAATTTGGCAAAAAGTCCTAAATTTTCGCCGACTTTCGATATAAAAATCTCGGTTGTTTCTGCAAAGCGCGAGCTATGATTCTCGCATATATCTTAGAAAAAATTATTCTAAATTTGTGCCAAGTTTCATCCAAATCTGAGCGTCGCATTTGGAGTACTTCCTCTTTAAGGTTAGCCCAGGAGCAAGCCTTCTGTTTCTCACAAACTATGTAAACGGCGCTTCTACGCTGACCTTTCTTGAGGTGCGAATTGACACGGATGACGTTTCAAGCATATCTCACAAGTCTTATCGCCTTAATTCTTCCGTGTATACGAACGGCGGACCGCCGCAAGGTTAATTTACGAGGGAGATGGCTTCGATAAAAAAAATGAAGCAGAACTATGTATATATTTAGCATAAGTCAGAATTTTAATGTGGGAAAAGCCTGCGGCGTAGCCCAGCCTTGCCCGATAAGACGTCTGAACAGACGAAGTGTACTTAGATTTTGTTAGATTTTGCTGAAAAATGCACACGTTTTAGGCAAGTGATTTACAAAAATACCGAAATCTTGAATCATTTTTTTCCGGAAGGGCAACGTTTCATAAAATTATGTTTCCGCCCAGAATTGCCAGGGATATGGCCAAAAGCTTTGAAAAGCGCGCTCTTTCCTTCAAGGCGAGATCTTCAAAGCGGGGGTTTTTAGCTTACAATTGTTAGAGAAAGGAAGGGTTTAGAGACATTTTGTTCCCTTCCGGGATGCAAAATGAGACGTTTTTTGCCATTGAATCCGGTCCCTCGCTGTATAGCCTAGTCAATGCCAAGGCAGCATCTTCATTCATGCGTTTTTGCAAGGAGGAATTTGCCAGTGATTCATTGGCGCCTTGACTAATACATGATGTTTACAAAATACGACAAATATGTTTTAGATTCTTTATAGTGTCTACAGTATAATCATCAATCACACAGAGAATATCGAAGGCAACTAGATAGCAAAGAACGATATAATATGTATACGATATAATGTGTATTCCATTATGTACAAAACTGGTTGCCTGTGTAATTGATTGTGAGATCTTCTGCCGCCATTCCCAAGAACATTGGGACATGAAATCATCGGGTTTGAGCGAACATTGAGGATGGGTTAGCGGTGTTGTTGGAGGTCGACTGATTGGCCATTCCAAACATGGATTGTTGTTGGTTGTCTGAAAAGAAGTAATAAATAGTTTAATGTTGTTTGAACGGTAATAAGACAGTGTATTTTTAAGACTACTCAAGATAAAAACCTAAAGGATGATGACTAAAAACCGAAATTTTTTTGATTCTTTCGATGAATAGCCCCCTTAAAAAGGGCGTATTTTAGGCGTACAATAAATTTTAGAAATGATCTTTTCTTTGATCTGTGAAATCAAAGAAACTGTCGCTCCCCGCTCCCGCTTACTTCTCATGTTTCCCTCCTTGTAATCTCCGATCAAGCTGAGGATTCCGGTGTTAGCCAACGACATCGCAATCGGTTGAGAATGCACTGGGATGCGGAGTAAATTAAGCGCAAGTAATTTGGATTACTTATGTTGAACTTTTCGGCCCCTTAAATACCCCCTTGTCCTTGCCCACTGCCCTCCTTTCCTGCCAGATTTCCGGCGACGATATTCTCGCCTACGGCATTCACACCTCCCCTGCAACGCGGCGTCAACGCCCTCCGCCGCGGCGCTGAATAATCGGAGGGTTTATCGAGGAGGGTTATCGCAATTCTCAGATTATATCCCAACACTTAACCACGACTTCATGCCGACTCGATTTACTTGGTGAGTGAATCCAGGATTTTGATTGATTATCTGATGGTCCTGGCAGGAGGCCGTCCGTGCCAGTAGCAATACGGCTTATCGGCGTGAATCGGTTTATTTACGGTGAGTTGAAGGAAAATCTATGCTTTATATGCCGTCAAAAGTTCAGGCGGAAATGTTGAGAAGTTTTCTCATGGAAAAAGTGTCGCAAAACAAATCTTCGATTGTCTCTTCTTGCATCATATGGCCTACAAACATACCTGAATATCTCTCCGACTGCAAGCAAAATTTTTGAATGGCCTGGGAAGGCCATAACGGCCAAATTTTAATAAGCGAGGGACCTGATCCAGTGGCAAAAAACGTATCATTTTGCATTCGGGAACTATCAAAAATGTGGCAAAATGCCTCCCTCTCCAGCCAAAAAACACCGTTTTGAACTGCGCGCCCTTTCTCTCATAAAAAGAGCGGGCGCGCTTTTGAAATATAAGCAGCTTGAGCGCCTCTCAAGCCCATGGTTGTTTATCGGCCTTCGTCAACTTCAGATGAAGTATTAAACTGAAGTTTTGTAGGCCATGTAAGCTGTGATCGGCATAAAATGCCCTAAGTTCCGAAGTTATCTCACCTATTGTTCTGAATACCGGAATTCCGAGAAAAAACACCTATAGACCTTGAGTTTCATTACTGCATCGAGTCTTTCCCGTTTCCGTTGACTTCTGTTGCCCTGCCACTTGGTTTGTCCTGTTGTTTTCGAAGAATAAAGATATACAGAAATGTTTATGTGAGTCCAGACTTACAAGAGAAATACCTGGATGCAATGCTCAGATTTTCTTCGTATTTCGCACACGCTTCAGGCCTAGGCCAGATACCAGTCCCTGAAGATTTTAGCTTGGGCTTTGCAGGAGTATGGCCCAGATGTTCATTCGAACGGAGACGTACCGTCTTATTTGGTGGCTAACAGGTCAAAAATGGTGCATCTCTTACAGGGGAAGTACCCCAAGTGTGACGCATAGATTTTGATGAAAGTCGGTACAAATTTAGAATAATTTTTTCTAAGATTTATGCGAGAACCCTAGCTCGCGCATTGCAGAAACAACCGAGATTTTTAGATCGAAAGTGGGCAAAAAATGACACTTTTTGCCGAGTTTCGGCACGAAAAGTTCCATGCCTATTTCTACCATTGAGTGTAATGTTTTCACAAAAAATCATTTTTTTCCGCACGAAACTAGCAAACTTATGGCCAAAAATGTGATTTTCACTCTGACCGCTCTCCGCGTTTCGCGTACTCTCTCGGCGGCAAGTTTTATTGAATATCTCGGATGCGCCTGCAAAGCGCGAGTTAAAACTTTGAGGAATTGATATTCAGTTAATGCCCTACGTGTGTAAAAAATTTAAAGAAAACCTGAGCGTCGCACTTGAGGTACTTCCCTTGTTAATGAAATTATTGAGATTTACAATTTGGACTTCGACAATGAGCTTCCTCCTGAAATCTTTTCCCATCCGTGTCTTGCACGGATGGGAAGTTATTTTTTTTGAGTGCAAAAAAAGTAGTTTCTGAGGGCGAGAAGTCGCGCGGACCGTTTCACACCGCCCTCACTCGCACCGACAATGGCAGAGATGAAGCCGCCTTCTTGTTGCAGTATCAGTGAATTCTTGGAGGTGCGAAATGAAGGAAGCAAAAAGTAGGAAATGTGAATACAAAGATTAAAGATCACGTAAATGAGGCTAGATATTCTGGGTTGTGTCTAGCAGGGAGTCAAATTCTGTAAATATTATATATCGCTCGGGACTTCTAAATCTCTCCGCAAGGGTCCATACGAACCCCGCAAATTTAGCACAAAGTCAAAAGTTGACATAAAAGGAGGAGGCGGCAGAGAAAGGCAGAAATTCTTACAAAGAGAAAAATTGCGCAATGTTATGTCAGATTACGCAACCTTTAACTTTGTACTAATTTTCAGGGTTCGGATGGACTCTTGCGGAGAGATTTAGAAGTCCCGAGCCATACACACCTTGAAACCACTTAAATTTGAAGGAATTACATGAGAGAACAATCAAAGATCGGCACATTGAGCACTTCCCTGATTAACTGAGGGGTGACAAACGACGAAACAACCTAAACTTCAACGAACAGCTTCATCAGGACAAGCCAGCTTGTATAAAGTGATATCCCACACTTGTGGGCAACCACTTTGCTGACAGCTAGAAGAACCGCGGAGATTCTGCGGCCGTCTTTGAAAATTAGCCAACATGTGCTTTCAACAGGAAATTCAAACGATGGATTTGGCAGCTAGATGTTGCGAATTAAGTTTTCTGATACATAATAGCCGTGAATAGTTACCACAAGGTGTTAACCAGTCATTATTACCATTTTTTAAATGCACATTCTCTTCAAAATATAAAAAATTTTTTTCGAACTTATCTGAAAAATTCTGCGGATGTAAAGATTATCTATTTAAATCAGACGTTAACTGCGTTATTGGCGT